AAGGCAGAATCTCCTCTGCCGCCAGTATCTCAGGTGAGGCTGCAAACGCATCCAGAACAATGAAATAAAAAGGATTCGCCATCGTTATATTTCGTTACAATTAATTTTGCTACATGGCCCTGTGGCACAACCAAGTCATGGTTAGTTGCTCTCCCTTGCAGCACGATGCAGCGGTGTTACAGAAGGTACATGAGGCGTGGTGAAGGCGATGTGAGGTCTGGAGTGGTCTCTCTAAGAAGAGATTCATTAAACCAAAACTCTTCACCTTTCAAAAGACTGGGCCAAGCAGAAAGGAGCTGGAGCTGAACCTGAGCTCTGTGCAATTGTGAATGGAGAGAACACAGGGGGAATGAGGGTGGCTGTAATTCCCAACAAACTTGTTACTCTGTGATGTGACCAGACAGGGAATGTGACACAAAACCAATGGGGATGAAACAGGTCTGGGCTCAGGACCAGCGTGGACAAATTCCCACCAGCAGACAAATTCCCCCTGGGTCTCTCCCTCAGCTCTTGCCACAAGCACCTTCACTGGCAGTATGGAAGGGTGCAGGTGGATGTCTGGATGGCAGGGGGAAGCTGTTATGGCTGAGAGAAAAGGGATGGAGAGAAGGTGTGCAGGAGAGGAGCCTGGGCACAAGGGGGTCCACCACCATGTGCTTACCTGGGGAAGGGACAACGCTGAGCCATGTCTCTCCAGGGAGGGGACTCTTCCTGCTGCTTTTCTCTCAAAAAGGATGGGGATGCAGTTTGCAGGAAAAAGATAAAACCAACAGAATTGGTGGATGGAAGAAGGATGCTCTCCCTCCACACATATTTAGAAATATACCCTACATGTTTAAAATACAGATATTAATGTATTGCAAATGAAGGTTCTGTCTGAGCGTGTTCCAGTAGCTTTGTCACATCTCTCATGCAGAGTCAACATAAATACAGCACGGGCAGCTAATAACAGTGATCATTAAATTAACCTGAACACTTTCCGTGAGCTGAAGATGACACTTCTGATTGATGCAGTGTCTTTTCAATCAGCTAGAGGTTGCTGCATTCCCCATAGATCACTTCTTTGGGTTTCAGGGCTAGCATCCTCTATTATAAGCCTAGTCTGTTCTGCTTGTCCTTGGGTCATTAAAAGCCCTGCCATGCCACATTCTGCATGAATATTTGGTCAAGAATATGTTTTTTTCTGCATGCCAATGGTGTAGTTTTTTGACATTGTGCTGGAGAGCAGGAAGAAACCTGTTATTTTAGAAAGGGAGGAACCCGTGTGTGTGTGCAGGATGGGAAAGGGAAGGATATACTGTGTGAGAGGAGTGAGAAAACATCTGTGACACTTGCTGTGAGTCAGCGCTGGATTTGCAGGCAGAGGACGAAAGCTTTGCTAACAAGGCTTGAAGCCTTGTGGCTGACTGGCTTAGACTTCAAAAACTTAATGCTGCGAGAGCAAGTTTCCAAATGGAGACAGGAGCAGAGGGCACTGTCACTCTGCAAACAGAATGACTGGAGAGCAAATGCTGCAAGAGAAAGCTCTGTCTCAGCAGGGTGACTGGCACAGGAACCATACAGAGCCTGAAAGGGCAGAAAAAATACACATTCACCATGTGTCTAGGGGAAGGCTTAAACACTGCAGCAGGATTCATCCCACCACACTTAAGTTGCTAGGTGTTAAACCTGCTTCCACCACCCAGGTTTCCGTTTGCTAGTGGGGTGAGGTGCAGAACCACAGCATAACTGGGGTGAGAAGGAGCACCTCCAGGTCTCTGATCCAGCCCCTCACTCCAAGCAGGACCTGTATCTGTTGGCCAGCATCTTGTCCCATCCACATTTAACAATCTCCAAGGATGGAGATCACTTACCTCTTGGCCCCTGTTGCATTGTTTGGTCCCCCTGATGGGGCAATTTATTTATTTATTTTTCCTTAACATCTAATCTGAATTTTCCTCCTTGCAGCTTGTCTTTGTTGCCTCTCAGTCTATCACTCTGGACCTCTGGGAAGTGGCTGGCTCCGTTTGGTCTGTGCCCACCCAAGAGGTACTGAACACAGCAAGAAGGTCTCCATTTAGACCTCTGATTAAGATGTAAGCCTAGTTCCCTCCGGCTCTCCTTGTATGGCATGCGCCTGAAATCCCTTAATTGCCTTGGTGGTCTTCACTGGACTCACTCCAGTATATCAATGTCTTTCCTGTATTGGAGAGTCTGAAACTGGACACAGTTTCATCCCCAACACAAAGACTCACCTGTTCTGCACACCCTTCTCATTATGAGTGTCTATTCTATCAGGGCAACACCCCGAAAGATAGAGCTCAGCGTGATGGCACAGTAAAATGATGTGTAATTCATATCATGGGACTTAAGTCCAGGTTTCCTGAAGTTGTGGGACCTGAAAGTCCTCCTTTCAGAAAAAAAAAAAATGGGGACAGGAGAATGACACATTGGGCGTCCCATCCTAGCATCCTGCCTGTCACATCGGGCAGCAGCTGAAGCACAGCACAGGGTGTGAGATTGGTGCACGCACACAGCAAATATTCTTCTTTCATAGCTTGAACACTTCTTTAAGCTTTTTAAAGCAAAGCTAGTATCTTTGTCCTGAGGAAATCTCAAGAAATTTGCCTTCCATAGACTTGTCCTTCTTGTTTTTAACCCCCCACTAACATTCAGCAGCCACAGCAATGTGTGGAAGCAGCTTAATGCCAAGGTGCATAAGGAAACACCTCTCTTTTACTGACTAACTCCTGCTAACTTCACTTGTTGCCCGTGGTCTTATTTTGATAGACACTCTCTCCTTGACCCTTGGGACCATGCGTACCTCTGTCATATACACCTCAGTTGTTCCTTCCAGGCTGAGGAGCCCCAGTCTATGCAAGGGTTCTCCAAGTGACAGTCAGTTCTGCTCTCTGATCATCCTTCCTGCCCTTCTGTGAGTTGTTGTGTTCTTTGTTTGGTTGGTTGGTTGATTGGTTTTGGTTTTGGTTTGGTTTGGATTTTGTTTGTTTGTTTGTTTGTTTTTTCCTCTTCTTTTCAGGTCTGCTATATTCTGCTTGAGATGGATTCTTCCTGAGTGGCAGATCCCACCACTGCCTATGGAAAATGCCTGTCATTGCTTCCTCTGTGAATCATGTCACATTTGTCATCACAGACTTTCATCTGTTATTTTACTGCCTGGTGAGATATTTAGTCAGCCCTCTCAGACTTCCCTTTCTCCCCGTATTTCCTAGGAACAACTCCAAAAGTCTGATGGGGTCCATCTCCTTTGCATTTGCCAAGACCAAGTATTCTCTCTGGTGTCACACATCCAGCTATTTACATGCTTGATAGCACAGTTACCTGCTACAGAGATCTGCAAAAAACAAACTCCAGTACCTACACCTGAAATGACACAAGGCTCCTTCCAAAACACTGCCCAAATGCAAGATAGTCCTGAGATCTGAGCTAAGAAATGTATTTCACCATGGCTTGAGTGGAGACCTGCAAGTCTTATATGAGAGAAAAATTCACCCGGAGGTCCTGGCTTTGGATCTGGTGTTGTCTGCAAGTGCTGCTCTACTAGACTGCATGTCTGGATTCCCTACATACTCCTTGCAACTTTCTCCCCACACCTTGGCCTACAGATGTCACCACCCTCCCCTCTGTGCAGGCTTGGGCATCTGCTGGGCTTGATAACTTCCTTGGTGGCCGTCAGTTTCTCCACATGCGTATCTGGCTCAAGTTGTAACCTCAGTTGTAATCTCCCTTTCCACTTGGCTCAAGGTTTGATATACCAGTGACAAAAGGCATCTGAGGACCAGACTGTGTTATATCAACCCGCTGTTGCTGCACATCGATATTGTGGCTTCGTGTCCAGGTGTCACCCAGCACCTTTGCTGTTTTTAGTGTCCTTTCTGGGGTTCCTGATCTGGGCCTGTTGACTTCTCCCTTCCATGTGCCACGCACACTGATACTGTGTTTCCATCATAAACCTCTGGAAAAGTAAAAAAGACTGAGTGCCAATAGTAAGTCACACTCCGGGTAACAAGGATGATGCCCATGATGAACTGTAGGTACACATATCAGAGACCTGCTTGTGTGTGTGCACGTCTCAGTGGGAGGCAATGGGAAAAAGAGGGTGCAGGTGCCAGCTCCTGGCATGCTGAGTGCATGAGCTCAGGTCCTGGAGGGATCCAGGTGTACAGCTGGCACACTGTCACGCCAGTCCCTATCAGAGGTCACCTTCCAAACCCCAGTGTTTGCTGTGGATGAGGAGCTGGGGATGTCCTGTGCAGCCATCACCTGCCTCGCTGCTTGCTGTCACACTCATTCTCTCACCTGCCCAGGCAGGGATCAGCTCAAAGCCTGTTGTCTTTCCCAATCCGGACCTCTCTGCCACGATCTCGTCTCTTTTGCAGCAATGCCTGCTGTTGTTTTCTCCTTGCAGGCTCCGGGCACAGCGCCGTGGGCAGCCCGCACAGCAGAGCTGTGCCATCCATCAATCCCTCTCCGCAGGGACGCAGTGTCACCGGCAACGCGCCTGCAGCACTCAGCACAGCCGCTTGACAGGCAAGATGAAGGTGGAACAAGAGGAAATCCAATTCTATTACGGGTTACGTTTTCATCTGGCGTTAAATCACTCTCACTAATCTTTCGCCGCGTGCACCCACCTCTTACAGCCCTGTTTCACGCTGTCCTCTTCGGGGAGACTGAATAAATACCAGCAAATCAGGAACCTGGGGGGAAAAACAGCTGCCAGAGTGCAAAACACTCCCGGGACTGACCCCAGGCCAACAATCACAGCACCACACACAGATTGTGCCTTTGAAGCACCAAAGCATTTCGCAGCCGATCCCAAGCCACCTTTGGGAACCCCCAACCCCTCAAACTGACCACCACGCTGCGAATTACGATTAAAAACCCGTCGAGGGGACCCAGGGCTGGCTGTGGGGGGGGGGGGGGGAGGCCCCCAACGTCACGACTCCACCGCCCCGACTGACAGCGCCATGTGCGGGGCGCCTATAAATGCCAGCAGTGATTGACAGGGCCGGCAGCGGCGGCGGCGGCGGCCAAGGGCAGGGGCAGCCACAGCCCGGCCGCCGCCATGGGCTCGCCACGCCGGGCCCTCGGTAACTCGTACGCCGGTAACGGGAGGCTGTCACCGCCGCTCCGGCCGGGCAGCGTCGAGGGAGCGGAGGAGGCCGAGAGCGCGGCCTGGGCTTCTCGGCCCAACCGGCGTAGTTACCTGCTGAGCATCCGGCCCCAGAACAGGTGAGGGCGGTGAGGAGGGGGTGCCGCAGGGGGCTCTGCTCGCCCCGTCGGGGGTCTTTAGTCATGGGCTGGGGATGGGGAGGGACGCGGTGGGCACCTCTGGGGTGTGCCCGCTGAGTGCTGGGCACGGCATCGCTGCCTGCGGACAGGCTTCCGAGGAGATGGTGGGGAACCAAAATGACTGATTTGGGAGCTGGGAGGTGAAATCCAGCTGTGTTAAAAGGTGGAGCACCAGTGCGGAAGGCCAGGCTCTTGTCCCGGGCAGCGGGCGGCCATCCAGCCCGCAGCCAGGGGCACACCCGGGTGGCGAGAGGCTGGAGGCTGCCGGGCGCTGCTGAGGGTGAAGGCGGCGCAGGGCTGGGAGTGCTGTGTCCGCATGCCCCGGGGGGCCCTGCCAGGGTTACAGCAGGATAGCAGAGGCCAGCTGGATCGATGAGAACCCAGGCGCATCCCAAAAGCGATGTGGCGTGTGTTCGCTCCTCGCCTCCCTGCGGGTGTATTTCTGTGGCTGTTGCTGGGGCAGGGACGGTCAGCATCGTGCATCTTATAACGGGGCTGAGCGGACTTTCATGCTGTGAAAACCTGACAGACATGAGCTTCCGTCTTCTTCTTCCTTTTTTTATTTTATTTATTTTTATTTTTTATTTAAACCTCAGAATTTTTGAGGTTAAACTTGCCTGCAGGATCCTGCCCTGCCCTTTCTGGCTTCATAGTAGTGAAACTGCCGGTGTTATCTACACCAGACTCCATGCAAGGGGCCCGCTGTGCGGGTGCCTTATCTTATTGCCAAAAAGGCATTTCTACTATGTAGATACGGGCTGAGCAGTGACGAGAACTACATTCCTGGGTTAGAAATGGCCTCAGGCAGGAGGTCTGTGGTAGGAATGAGGCTTTGTTCTCAGGGGAGAAGGTATGATAAACATGTTGTTAACTCGGACTGGCTGAGGTTAGTGAATGCAAGGCAACGTGCCAGTGAAGGCGAAGGTGTTGGTTAAAGCATTAGTTGTTCAAAATGAAGCCTTTAAATTACTTTGAATTTGCTATGAGTACTCTTCAACCTGTAAGCTCTTGAATTGAGTGTGCATCTTCCTTATCGACGATTTATAAATAATCCATTTCCAGCATGTCAAGGGTTGATGCCTCAAATAATCTGAGATTTGTGAAAATAAATAGAGCACCGAAAGAGATGGAAACATGCTGCCTGGCAGTCAGATGTTAAAGCTGGGGTAATGCCAAAGTTAAGTTGCCTTAATTCAGTTCCTTTGTGCTTGTATTGTAGTGTGCAATCTAATTGCAATCTGGCTGTGTACCCTAGCATCTTCAGTACCAAGAAATACACATGCAGTATTCACAACCAACCTGTGACCTCAGACCATGCTTAATGCTGCAAAGGAAATGTGTAATTGAGCCCAGTACCTCCATTCTACAGATTAAAGGTAGAGTCTTTAATAAGATGTTGAGGCCTTTTGCCTAGAGCTTGATTCTCTATTCATCCCCCCCCCCCCCCCCCCCTCCCAGTATGTTCAAATTGCAGCTTTAATCTGTTTAGCCATAAGGGAGGGTTCAGCAGTCCTCAACTAATACTTCCAGTGTTCCCAGCTGGCTTCCCCAGATCCCAGAGATTTTGCTCGAGGCCACTAAGGAAGATGCAGAGTGATGTGGGCGAGCCTGGCATCTCTGGGATGTGTTGACTGTGCTGCTCAATACTGCACAGCAATACCGCTCCTTGACTGCAAAGCTCCTAGCCCTGAACACCTTGACATTGCCATGAGAGCACTGTGTGTTGGCAGCACCCCAGTTTCCAGTATGTAGGAGCCTTATGCTTTTGCAGAAAAAGTGACAAAGTGACACTGCTGCAAAGATCAAATTGGCAGTGGATTCGTTTTCCACAAATTGTCCAATTCCTTTTTCAACCCATTCAAGGACTGGGTACATCAAAGCCTATAGCAAGGTAATTTCATTTTGCCATTTAACTTCAGTGGCTGCCCCTTCCGTTATAAGGAGCAGTGAATAGATATTTGCTAAATAGCAAAACTGACCTTTCCCTGTATTTGTGACATCTTCCAGTTTCTCTAATGAACAGGGGAAGAGTAATATAGAAGTCTTGCTCCCTGCACAGCCTGGAGTATGTCTACAAGTGCAGAAGATTTGAGCCAGGCTGTGTGGAAACTTGCTGTGAAACTGCATCGCGGTCTATGATGCAGGGCAAGGGTTTGAATGAAGTGGGGCTTTTTGTCCTGTAATTAAATAATGTATCATAACAATTCTGGAAAGCAAGTGAGTAGGAATGATGTAGCGAGGAGGCTTTCAGAAAGCAATTATGAATTTAATTAAATCCGGGAACATCTGGAGAGCTTGCCTGGGAGAACTTGAAAAGCAAGATGAGTGACGTGCAGAACAGCAGATAACATTCAGCAGTTTTCTTTAATGCAGAATGTATTTGAATTTGGTGGGTTTGAAGCTGATGAGCATGGGACGAGTGATGCAGACACAGAATTGCAGTGGGAGGCTGTTTTGGTGGTTGGAGAGCAGAAATGGATACAGTGATCCAAAGAAAGTATGTGTGTTTTTTTCTCTATTGCTGTCTCTGTATGTATTTGTGGAGTGTTTAGCTGAAATACTTGCCTGCTCTCATCACCAGTTCCCAAAGGAAAAGACTAGAGAGAGTAGTGACATGATGAGGAAATCTTTGTGAAAATAGACTGAGGTTAGGGACAACTCATGAAAAAGTTTCACCAGCATACTTCTATTAATGAGCCATGTAGAGAATAGCCTAGATGGTCTCAGTTGGCTTCCCTAAGCCCATAGTAGGAAAGTGGTGTGTAAATTGAAGAATTCCTATTTGGAAACTGGTATGTGCTTTTCCATTTTTTAACTTGGAGAAATCGCTGGGGTGATGCTACAGAATTCCGAAGAACAGAGGTGTTGAGAATTGCTATATTCATGGACTGTCCTGAGTTGGCAGAGACACACAAGGATCATTGAGTCTAACTCCTGGCTCCACACAGGACCACCCAAAAATCAGACCACGTGGCTGAGTGTTGTCCAAATGCTTTTTGAACTCCAGCACGCTCAGTGCCTTGACCACTGCCCTGGGGAGCCTGTCCCAGTGCCTGACCACCCTCTCTGTGAAGAACCTCTTCCTGACACCCCAGCCTGACCCTGCCCTGTCTCAGCTCCATGCCGTTCCCTCGGGTCCTGTCCCTGTCCCCAGAGAGCAGAGCTCAGCCCAAGCTGCTCCGCTTCCTTCGGGAGGAAGCTTCAGGCCACCACGAGGCCTCCCTTCAGCATTCTCTAGGCTGAACAAACCAAGGGACTTCAGTTGCTCCTCGTACACCTTGCCCTCCAGACCCTTCACCATTTTTGTTGCGCTCTTTGGAGCACTCTCTAATTTTGCGGCACCTCAAGCTGCACACAGCTCTCAAGGTGAGGCCGCACCAGTGCAGAGCAGGAAAATCACTGCCTTTGACCGACCAGCAGTGCAGTGCCTCATGCACCCCATGATGAAGAATATCATCCCTCTATTAAAGAGAGTATCTAGGATATTTACCTTTTGTGCACTTGAGAACTGGTCTTTAATAGGAGTCTTTCCCTTTGAACAGCCAGTTCAGAGACCATCAATTACTGGCTCTCCTCTGTCTTTTAATTTATCTGATAACGGGCAATGAGGAGCAGCAGGTATGGTGACTTGCCTTGCCCTCGCAGCCACCAAGTGGTTTTGTTTTTGTCAGTGTTTTTAAACTCTTATGTCTTAAAGCAGTGGACTATAATTACTTTACAAAGTGAGAGGAAAAGCTGCCAGTCCTGTCCAGGATCTGCCTTAGCTGCATTCATGACTTCAGAAAGTCTCTATTAGTGTCCTTTTTGTAAGAACTAGCCGACTTTGGAAGACATCTAGTGCGGAGATACTTTTTTTTTTTTATATGAAAACTTATGACAAAGGTTTCATTTGAGTGCTAGGCCGACTCTTCTGTTGGATATGATCAGTACCTCTCATCTAGTGCGGATGTCTGCTACTAGGTCTTGTTAAAGCAGTTGCCTCCTTGCTTAAATATCTTTCTGCTGTCATAGCTTCGTCATACGCAGCTATTTATAGAGTATAGTGACATTCCCTCTGATCTTTTCTTGGACAGCCGTTTCTGGCTGTGGTGGCAGTTGAGTTTAAGAGGGTGCCTTGCCGTCATTTTTCTATGTACCCGGCTTTTCTGGCTAAGAACGGTTCCCTATCTTGGATCTCTTCCTTTGCACGTAATAACAAATTAAGGTGAAAAGAGCTGTTACTATAATAAAGTGAGCTGAAAACGCAGGGCTGCTTAGCTCCTGAAATGCATGGTTAGCTGTCTTAGTTCAGAGGAATTCCCTCTTCAGCAGCTGGGCATCTGTAACTTCTTGTGAGACCTCGCTTTTGGCAGTGATCTGTATAAATTCCTGATAGGAAACCAACTGTGGCTTCGGAGGGAATTTGGTGCATCTCTTGTGTAACAGAAGTGTCCCAGATTTTGAAGGACGCTCATCCAATACTTGCTCAAAAGACAAAAACGAAGGCATTAATGGGCTGATCTGCAGTCTGCAGGCTCCTGAGGGTAGAGGTGTCTTTTTCCTGTAGGTACGGCTGTATGTGCAGTCATGCCTGGTTTGATTGGGCTCCTTGACAGCTGTATGCTATGAATAATAATCCCAAGCTGTGTTTTCTTCAGTCCTTTTTAAGGTGTCCTGTCCTCGTCTGGTAGAAAGTTAGGTAAAGCTGGATGTGTAGACTGATAAGATGATAACCAAAAGTGAAAGATCACGACGTGGAGCTGAACAAACAGTGTCCTTCAAGAGCAGTGCTCAAATTTAAAATAGATCACAGGTATGAACTTTGCTCTTCTCCGGAAACCTCATAAATGGAGACATTTCCCAGACCCGCAATCCCCTTTCATTGTGTAGAGGGAGGTTGCAAAAGAGGCAGATTCCAGGAGAAGAAATTAAAATCTGCTCCATCCTCGCCCTGTCTCAGCTAGGGAAGGAAGGGTCTGGATGAATGAGGCTGTTATTTCACACTGTCTCTCACCTCTTATAGCATCAGCAGGTTTGAGAAGGGGAAGATAGAAGAGCTTTTTGTCCATTCTTGTTTCTTGATGTCTTTCTTCTAGCTGTAAAGTTAATTTGGGTAATAAAGACAGTGATACTTTGGAGTTTAAATACACAAATCTAAAGCATCTCCTGAGTGTTACAGCAGTTGATACGGGAACATGTAACTCAATTTATTGTTTTCCACCTTCCCTGTTAATGAAATCTAGCTCTGAATTGTAACATTCCAGTCCATGTTCATTTGTCTTGGAGTAAATTACTTGCAGAAAAATACCATATTTCTCCAGCTCTAACATCGATTTATTCTGTGACCTTGACAAGTAAAGACTCAATACATCCATTTTCCAGTCTGTAAAATAACAATGTGTCTTGTACAACTCCACAGCACTCACAGCTAGTTTATCACAAGGTAGCTGATAATTACTGCCACAGTGTATGAAACACAAACACACTTTTTCCGTGTATGCATGAAGTGCTTGATAAGAAGTGGGACACATGGCAGGAAAGAAGCCTTAAGCATAACCACATGTACATGAAAGCTTCGTTGTTGTCTTTCAAAAATCAGAAATGCTTGGCTACTGACAGCTGAGAAAACGTTCAGAGTGGCTTGTGTTTGCCTCAAGTAGTATTAACCTTGGAGGCAGAGAAGTTCATGTGAAATCTTATCCTTAGGAGACTGCATGTGCAAAACATGCCCAGTAATATCACGGGTCAGAGTGGCAGTGGGAGGGAGCATCTGCACGGGACTGTCAGGGCAGTCCCTGTGTCCTGGGGGTGTTCTGCCCCATTCTTCATGGGTTCTTACGCTGAGTTTTCTGCAATGCTGTTTCCTTCAGAACATAACTCGGAGGTCTTGGGCTTGCTGTCATCGAGGCATTTCTCTGTTCACGTGTTGCACTGGACAGCTAGTGCAGCTCAATCTTCGTGCTGTAGAAGAGCACTGAAATGTATTAGTGACTGTTGCAGGTCGAGTCCATGTCCACGTGAGGATGAAGCTACTGCAAGGCATATTTCAGTGTCTCATGAACTCCTGTTGACATCCATGTGAGGACCTGAGCTGGAAGGAGAATGCTTTCTTCACTCCCAGATAAAGAAACAGAGAAATGAGGATTTTGTGCAGTGACTGCACAAGAGGGATTAGAAAAGATACTGGATTTAAAGTCTGTTTTTAGAGCAATTAACTTGTCCTCCCCTGTGAGGTGATGTACCAGACTAGGCCATCAATTTGAGCAAAACTTTTAGTGATTAGGAAGTGAGTGGTGTTGAGTTCTACCTCCTGCCCTTGCAGCAAGACTGAAATTTGGCAAGTGCATGAAAAATGGGGGAGATAGTCTTCATTTCTGAAGGAAATTACAAGCAGGTGAAGGGCTAACACCTATGAGAGGGTGATAAATGTCCAAAATTTGAAAGCATCTCATGAAAGGAAATTTAAGAAGAGCTGAGGCTGAGCAGCGGGGTGTAGCTCTCATGGGCTGGTGCAACAGCAGTTAATAACCAAACCTGCACTTTTGGGGCTAGCTTTTACCAAGCTGTCTCTTACCTCATAGCCTGCAGAGACTTTCCTCCCACAAGCATTGGGCATGCACAGAGCAGACCTCTCCAATCTAAGCATCCAGAGCCCCCTTTCTCCGGTGGAGAGAAACCAGTGCCTTTAGACCTTGATTCATATCTCAGGATAAGCTAAGCTGCTGCCTTTATCCTATATCCCTCAAGCTTGCTCAGAGGAGATATATCCGCTGTAGATGCTGCATTTAATTAGCAGAATCCTGCACTGTGTACACTAACAAGTCTCTGGAGAGCTGAGGATATGGACAGCCCAATCCCAAGGCGTATCAAGCTAGGCGTGCTGGGGCATCTGTCGTGCCTTGCACAGGAGTCCCGCATTTCCAAGTTAATAGGTTTGGTTTAGACTCTTATGTAGTTATGCTGGTGCAGCTCTGTGTGGGTATGCTGTAAACTTAATTAAAATGAAGAGAAACGCCAGCTGCCTGCAGGCAGGGCTGTTGTAGCTGGAGCTTTTAGAATTTGATCTTACTCTCTCTGGGCTTAAATCTCTAGTCTGTAAAAAAATAAAAGTTTGCTTAGTTCCTTAGCGTATTGAGGTTAAACTTTAGTTAATGCCTGTGCTCTTAATGGTGGTGTCTTTCTTTTTTTTGATAGTATTAGGGCTCCTCAAGAGACCGTCAGTGCAATATTTAGCATAATGTTTCAGGACATGCAGTGAATAAAGCCTGGGCTGTGTGCTGTACGCTGGGAATTAAAAGTGCTGACGGTGTTCACTGCTTGATCACGTACGTGAGCAGAAGGGGGTTGTGTCACAAGCACCCTTCATTCTGACTCTTGCCTCTTGAATGATTTGCTTTACGTTGGAGACAAGACACCTCCCTGTCTGTCTTGTGCAAGAAAGCATGACTGAAACACTGCTTCTGCTAATGATAGCACTCTCCAGCAGGCATTTTAGGATCTACCCTCCTGGCTCCTCAAGCAATGCCTGTGTCCTTTATGTTTCTGGAGGTCAAAAGGAGATGGTTTCCCTTTTAGTGGGTATGCAAAACATTTTGGGGTTCCTTTACTGTTGGAAAGCAGCTCAGAGGAATTGGAGCTCTCTTAAAGCGTTGGGCTGGGCAGGAATGGTGAAGGCAAAGCGATGTGCTGGTCAGTAAGGCAGGTACTGCCAGAGCCTTGTAGTGCTGGAAAGGGCTTGGAGCTCAAAGGGATGCCCCAGGTGCTGGGGCTCAACTGGAAAAGCCAAAGGCTGAAGTTCCTCAGACTTCTCCCATGGGCCAACTCACTGCACGCAAGATGGATCAGGCAGCTGATCGTCGACCTGTTTTGGTTAGTGTTTGATGCTTTTCCAGCCAGATAGCTCCTGATCCACTCATCCTCTGGTGGCATGAGCAGTATTGGCACTGGGAAGAGATCAGGGTCATGCGGCTGGGGGTGGAGAGGGTGAAGCTGCTGCTGAAAGGGCAAGTGCCACCCGTGTTTGTTGGGTTAGAGCCGCTCCCGAGTGGCTGCCTAAAACTTCCTCTGTCTGATCTGTCCTTGCTCCCCTGATCTGAGCAAAAGGAGTCAGGGAGCTCTTCAGGAGGCTGCTCTTCTACTAAGAGTCTCTACACATGCAATTAAAGTGACTTGCATGTTAGTTCTTCATCTACAGGTGGAAGTGCTGCAGGGTTGGCAGTAGCAGTTCCCAGAGGCCTTCTGTAGTCATTTTTAGGACAAGACTGAGTTCTGCTGACTTCTGTGCAACTGGGACACATGCAGAGCCCAGGCGTGGTAATTTGGGCAGGAGACCTGGAGGTGTTCACCTTTCTTAGCTCTTCATGCTGCCCGTTGTAGCACCATCAGAAGGCACAGAGGTTTGGTTGTTCAGCAGTGCTCCAGCGTCCCAGGCTGGTAAGGTCTGATGCCTTACAACCCAAAGGGCATGTCCACACTCCAGTCACCTCTGAGGCCAAGTGGCGAGGTTGTAGTAGACACAATGATCGTGTATTTCAGTGTGATTAAGTCAGGGAGCTTGCGTGCTGCAGACTAGCTGGTACCTAGTTCTAGACTTACGGTTCTTATGTAGATGAACTCAGGGCACAGTCTGATGAACCAGTCCTGGCTGCTGTGGGTCTGTGCTGAGTTTATTTCCTACAGCCCGCAAGGGCTGCTGCTGCCACAAAATGACAGTGTGGGTAATTTGTCTGCGGATGTGAGCCCCTGAAGACACTCCTCTGGGAGAGCTGGTGGCTGTTGGTAAGTAACTCATCTGGGTGTCTTGGGTAGGGTTTGGTTTTGGATTTCATTCCCTGAAATGGCTGATTTTATACAATGCTCCTGCAAAGAAGACAAAACCTGTAGATTCATGAAAAGTCTGTATTTTATTATAGTTTTTGTTTGTTTGTTTTGCTGTGGTTTTTTTTGTTTGTTTGTTTGTTTTGTTTTGTTTTGTTTTGTTTTGTTTTTGGCCAGCCCTTAGTGAGTTGGCTGACAATCCAGAAAGCAGTGTATGGTGACTGGAGCATTTTCAGCTTCTCCAAAACCCTGGTACCTCTGTCCTTGGAAGGACGGAGGTGACCAGCTCAGGCCACCTGTTTGTGGGCAGACAAGTGGCTTTGCAGCAGGCTGTACTCTTGAGGGCCACTTACCTGGGTGGAGCTGCCTGCTTCAAGCACAACGCTGCAGATGGTGCATGGAAGGCTCAGGTGCTGCTTCTTGGAAACCTACTTGTATAAATGTCCTGACACTTATTCTCTGCAGTTAATGAATGTTTCATTTTTACAGCCTTTGATTTCAATTTACAACGTGGCTTGCTCGTCCTGGCAGTCAGCCTGAGTAAGGCAGCTGTACCTTCTTTTAATAGGAACTATGACCTGTGCAAAACAACTCACATTAATACGTCTCTGTAACGGTTTATTTCAGCTCCTTTCCATGCTTTTTTATCTAATGGTTTTTATGCTGTTTTTTGCTTAGCTTATCAAGCAGCAGATTCTCTCTCTCCAGTTTAGGAAGGTAAAACTACATTGCATTAAACTTCTCTGACCAAACACTTTGCTGAATCTGGCTGCACACGATTAATCCGTAATGCTTTAGTACTAATTAAAGAGAGCCCTGGAGTGGTCTAACAGTCTTATTCTGCATGAATGCATCCCTAATACTTGCTTGAACTGCGGACAGCAAAGTGAATGTTCATTGTAATTCCTGTGATAAGGTGCAAGAAATATTCATATTCCCTGGCCAAAGAGGATGGGTGTACAGTTTGTTCAGCTACTTCTTGATATTAAAGTGAGACTTCCATACAGAGACATTACAAATTAGATGTTCCTGCCCTGACACTTTCAAAGAAGGAATTTTCTTCTTTCCCCATCACCCTCTGCCTTAGCATGAGGATCCTCTTTCATTTGGACTCTGCCATGAAATGCACTTGTACAGCTGGACTTTGGCAAAAGAGCACGTTTGGAAGTCAGTGGGCATTCCTGGTTTGCTGCAGAAGCAAGTAGAGGATTGACTGTGGATGGAAAGGCCTCTCCAGAACACCCCTGTAGCTGTGGGATTGTTAACCAAAAGGTCAGGAAAAGAAAACTGTGAAGAAGAAGAAAACACTTCTCAGATCTCATTTTCCTGCAGACTACTTTTGTATGGAAATCCCTCTTTAATGTAAAAAGGCTACTGAATTGCTGGTGTCCTCTTCCTAGTCTACAGGGCTTTTTCTGCAGCAAAGATGCCGCTTCAGGAAGGCTCAGAGGAAGAGTGGCTGCTGCCTTGTATCAGATTTCTTGAATGCTCTGAATTACTGGTTTAGAAAGCAATTTGAATTGGACAAGTCTCGTTGCAGCTGGAATGAGTCAGCTGAGAGCCCCACAGTGCTGCAGTCTCTAAAATCCGCCTGTGACTAATACAATGGTTTCTTTGAAAGATTAAAGAGACTTTCCAGGGCTCTCTGCCAAGTGAGCATTGGGCAAGTCTCGTCTGATTCATCTACTGTGCCTGTGGAGTCCCCAGCTTCTGGTGATGCTGCTTTCCTAGAGCATTCAGTAGCCTTTGCTGTATTTCTTCCGACTCTGGGATTTGCACTGAAAGGACCAGGCTTACTCGCAGTGCTGCAGTGGCACTGGTGCTGGGATTAAACTTGGTCCTGAGCGTGTCACTCTGTGTGTGCACATCACCTTTTATTTTTTAAGATGCTGATCCTGTTGCTCTCTTGCTGGGGTGTGAAATGGTCATTGATGCTTGGGACATTCTAACTTCACTATGTGGATCTAAAAGGCATTTACTGGTCTAGGGACAGCAATCCTTAATGAAAAGGCCATCAAACCCCAACAGTAACTGCCTTGGCACTGGATTTTCTGCCTTGCTCTTTGGAAATGGGAGTTATTTTTCTCTTGGGTTTGGGGTATGGAAAGGTTTCTCTGCTTTGGCACCCACAGCCCTTTTGTGGCTACGTGGTCGGGTAGAGAGTTGCTTGCCAGGACCAGTCCTTGGTTTGATTTCTGCAGAAAGGAGTCCAAGCTGTGGCATCAGCTTTTTACCCTCTGTCCCACAAGTGTGTTTGGATATAGCCAATGCTCATAACCCTTGCTCAGTAGATGAGTCGAGTTTGCAACAGCCCTAGCTGCTGCCCTCTTCCCTTCCCCTCGCCCAACGCAAAGTGCCTGGGAGCTGGGTGAGGCTCGCGCGGCACCAGCTGTTTGCTGCCCGGGGCTTCAGCTCCCTGCATCTCTCATAAACTGATGCTGGTGGGAAGCCAGAGTGAAAATCGCAGCACTGCAACCTCCAGGTAAGTTTTCTGGGTGGGTGAAACAAGCAGTTGCTGTGGCTGGAGCTCTCCTGGCACCTTCAGCCGTGCGTGCAGCTCATTCCATGCTGCAGTGCCTGTCAGCGCACCTGCCCTTGCTGGGTTCATGCTAAGTGTGGATTTTGTTTTCTCCTGAAGCAGACTGCTTCCCCAGCAGGTAGAGCATGAGTAGCAACAGTGCCAGCATCCTGCCTGTGAGCTGGGGGCTGCTTGTGAGGCTGGGGTCTTCCTCATGGAGCCCTCACTATGTGCTGAGAGCCCTTCTGCTCGTGGTGGAGCTGTGTCAGGAATGATCTGGGGGTTTGTTCCACCTCTTGCATGTCTTTAGAAGCTGATCATTTGTTTAAGGAATGTGTCTTCCACTGCTGAAAACTGATGTAAGTAGAGCTGCTGGGTACCAGTTACATTGCGATACTTGCTGTTTCTCCTAAGGTCCTGGTGCTTGAGAACTTGGGGTCCTCTCTTCCAGTGTAAATAGTAAATAGTGTGTTAATTGCAGAGGAGAAAATGAAAGAAGTTCTTCCCTTCCAAGAGAGCCAGAGTACTATCCAAATGAAGATCCAAGTTGAAATTAAATTCTTTCCCTTTTTTTAAGGAAGTCCAAATCTTCTGAAGCCTCTCTTGGCGACGCTCCAACAGGGTTGGCTGTAGGAATACACTGATTTAGTGCCACCCCCAAATAGTATTTAAATGACTGGAGAATCTATGATTCATTTTCATGAGCTTCACAGGTGGTACTGGCTATCTGGATGGTTCTGGCCCAGCCTGAACTTTGGGGTCAGTGCATGGACTCAGTGGGGTACGTAGCATGAGTGCCTACCCACAGTAGCAGATGTCAGCTTAGGATATAATTCCTGAGCTCAGAAGGGTACAAGCCAGGTTCAAGAGCCACATGTTCAGAAGCCACATTCAACTCACACTTGGCCTGAAATTGCAATGTAAAATCTTCACAAATGAAATAAAATCCCAGTAAAGAGCACAACGGTTGGAATGCTGATAGTGCAGTATCAGGACTGTGAAGCTAATTTTGTTAGTGTCTTAGTTTGAGCCTGCTGGCTGATCAAAGAAATGCTCAAGTGTAATCCAGAACTAAAATGATTCTTGACATTCATTACCCTGATAGCTTCATATACAAAGGGGTTGTCTCCCAAGTGACACTTTAAATTGACAGAATCATCTTAGGAGTGAAAAAACAGTCAAATACCATGCCTCTTGACTTGACTTTTAAAAAGTCTACTGTAGGGATGATGGGAGGGAAGGAGGGCATTTATAGCAAGAACACAGCACAGACATATTTCTGAGAGATAGAGATGAGATAGGAAGGGGACCCTTTGATTTCTTTCTAGTTCTTTGATCTCTAAGAAATGCTTCTTGAATCTTCCAGGAGCACCTTCTGCGCAATCATTTCTCAGCTGACGGAAGAAACCCAGCCACTATTTGAAACCACTATCAAATCCCGTTCTGTGTCCGAGGACTCTGATGCTAAATTCACGTGCATAGTGACAGGTAACAGTGTCTTCAGTGAATAACCTGGTCCTGCCTCCCTTGCTGGACTTGTGCTAGTTAAACTCTAGAGCAAGCGATAACAAGGCAGCACATAACAAGCCCAGTGTTGTCAGGCTGCCAAGTAAAGATTCAGCGATTGCATGATGATTGCAGATGATTTCAGCTTTAATTTAAGGGGGGAAGGTGGGGAAACAGTTGAGATTGTAAAGAAGCAAAGGCATAACCTAACATCTCAAGCAGAGCAGATTAAAGACCAAAAAATGTAATATGATGATTACTTCTTGGGCCAGTGACATTTTAGCGTCCTAATCTCTGCTTTTTTCCTAATCCCGGACCCCATAATTTAGGAATGTGCAGTTCTAAAGATGAAATCTGTTATACTGGAGCCACCTTCAGCTCTGGTTGCTGGCTGTAAATCTGCATCAGTGACAAACATGTATACCTGTTAATGTCTGAAATAAAGACCAGTTTCTACCCAGTGAGCTAAAATCTAACCCTGAGCAGGAATGGTTTAGGCCAATAAGAGGGAAAAAGGGGGAGACTGAAAAAAGAGGGTCTTATGGTGATGGGGCATGGCAACTGCACTGGTAATAAAGGCACGCAACTCCTTTGCTGGTGAGCATTTGTCTTTTAAATATAGAGATGCTAAAATCTCCTTTTTTTCATAGTATTTATCTGTTTATGACACTGATCCTTCCTGGTATTGCATATGTTACTTATCCAGACAGGTTACTCAGGGAGAGAACAAGCTTGTAAGTTCTGGAAGAAGGAGGTTATCTCTAATGAGCCTCTTAGTCACCAGTACCACAACTTGGTTAAGATTTAGGGGATCTCGTTTGCCATTACAAAGATGCCGTAATACAAATAAGCTGTATACAAAGGAGAGCATACTGAAGCACTTCTCTGAAAGACGCCTGCTTTGAATTCTTGGCTCTTCTCGTATGATACACTTGTTTTACAGGTCTGACTTTCTGAACTTGCAAGGCTACAACTGGTACGTTTACTTCATTAATGCTTAACTTTAGCAGACCACTTCCTGCTTCTGTGGTAAAACTGGGCTGCTAGGGATGCCTCCAAGCCATGCCCTTCAGTGCTTCATTAGAAGGGCTTTCCGATTGAAGTTATTTAAAAGGAGAAGCTTTACATATTGTGCAGTGGCATGTAACTCATCATTTTGCAAGCCAAGAGGATCACAGGTCAAAAGCTGAGCGATGTCTGGATGCGTTATGAAATCCTGAGTAATAGCAGATACAGTTCTCTCCTCCTCCTCTCCGGAAAGCGGGGAGGTGTGCGAACCCAGGGCATGCCTGCTTCCTGTAGGGACATGCAATAGCACTGCTTTACCTTTCAGGATTTCTTGTCCCTTTTAAAATGCCTAGTCCGGGCTTAAGTCTCCACCAGCTGCGTTTTGGGGTGGACAGCCCCAAAGTCTAGATAATACTTTCAGCTCCATGTGGGCCCTTCCAAGGTGAGAGGTACATGTGTGCAGCTCTAGTTATGCTGGAAGTTGGCTGTCAGGGTAGGAAGTGCTCCGTGCATTTGAGGCCAACAATCTGGGTGTGATTTTAGGAGGAGAGGGGAGAGAGACTTCAGTCAGCCTTCTAAAGGCCACGTCCGTATCCTTTCCAGCATCTCTCCTAGAATAGCTGGAGAAACCCTTCACTGTGCAGGAGACGTGCTGCCAAGGAATAACTGCGTCTGCTCGTACCCAGTGGCAGTACATCTACAGACAGACATGGTCTTTCTCCTGTCTGTAGCCTTTCCTGCGGTCTGCCCGTGCTCTCTGCAGGCAGGAAGCTGCCTTCCTGCTTTGGCTGACCTGCTGGTGCTGCGTAGCACAACCTGACGTGTTACACCAAGTAGAAAACCTGACCTGATGCTTGTCTCACTTCCTAATAAAGCAAAGGAAAGCATCAAATGAACATCTTCAGCATGTAACCTATTGCAGTATTTTTACACTGAATAAATTAGACTGGGGAGTCTCTTTATGCATTTAAATGAAGAGATGCCCTTCCCAAGGTAGGAATTTTCACAGAATAGCCCTCAAGCAGCTTGGACCACCTGTCCCACTTTGAGTGTGTTGCACGTGGGCTGCTCATCTTGGGATGTTTTTGGGACAGAGGGGCATGAGGTGCAAATCAAACTCCTGTTGTAACGTCTAATCAGGAGTTCAGATGTCTCCCCTGCCACGATGTTTACATTCAACGGGGAGATACTACAGGGGGAAAGGAAGTGGCGATTGCATCCCTGGCCAGTGACCAGTGTGGAAACAGCTCAGTCCCACTGCTGTGGCTGGAGTCCAGGGACACTTTGGTTCAGAGCCTTACAGGAGGCAAAGGGCAGACTGTCAGCTGCTCCTGTTGTGACTCTCAAGCCCCATACACAGATACATGACCTACAATAACATCTTAATATTTTTTGCTGCTTCTCAACTGATAACGAGTTCCAGGGCAGTCCCACATCTGGGAAAACCAGAGACTCACTGGTCACGTCCTAGGAGGGCAGTGTTTGAAGAATCAGCCTCCAAATTTGCTGGGAGCTGCAAGCAAGGAAATAAGTCTGAGGCAGACTTCCTGGTGCTCTTGGGTGGTCACACAACCCCTCCTTTCCTCCTGCTGTCTGGTTCTCCAGCTCTGCTCTGCCTGCTACCAGAGCACCTAATAAGTCTGACTTGATTGTTTTGGGTCAAGTCATGCATCAGTTATGACATATTCTCATTTTTTTTAGACAAAATGAGTTCAGCCTTTATTCTCTGAGAATAAAGGGAACAGCAACGCTTCCTTTTGTTGTGTGATTTCTTGCAGAGCGCTCTGCTTCTCTGCACCAAGTGGTTTCCTTGGTGGGTCTGGCTGGACTTCAGGACCTTGGGGGTCTCATCCTGCAGATCCTTTCCTATCAGTACCCATTGGGTGCTTCTCTTTAGAGAGTGCCCTTTACTGCAGGTAGCGCTACAAGGATTTTACAACTTTTCAGTTATACTCTGTAGAGTGTATAGGGAAGGGTGATGCATGCTGATGAAGTGCAGGGGCTTGGATGAGGGCGCCTGGGTCTGTAACTGCGTGTTAGGAAGTGAGGCAGTGACTGCCCCCAGCCAAGGCTGTTACCTTGGAGTAACCAAGTACCAGGTTACCTTGCTGACCTTGCTGCCCAAATCAATAGCTCAGGAGCTCATTCCCATGGTTCGTTTCATGGGTCAGTGCTTGTGCTGAACAAGTGCCTGGCCTGGTAATTCTCCCGTGCTCTGCAGATGCTAGATCAATGCTGGCACCTGTGCTGTGGCACTTGTGCAGGGTGGCCCATCCCTGGAGGGGGTGGGAACGAAGCAAAGTGCCCGGAATCGGTGTGATTTCATCACAGAGCTATGGGGAGGAAAGTGCCCTACCTGCAGCATGGGGAGGAGGGCTGGAGTGCAGTGGGTGAGGGATGTGATGAGCATCAGGGATTTCAACTTGCTGCATCTGTGGGAGCCCTCCTAGAGAAACTTCTGTCTCATGAGAGGAAAGTGCTTGGATCAAGAATGTGTGGAGAGGCATGGGGGGCACCGAAGAGAGGTGGATGGGTGGGTCTGGGGAAGGGGTAGGTGATGAGCAAAGGTGGGAGATGCAGTGCCTGGGTTTGGGGCAGCCAGCAAGAGAAAATAAGGGGGATTAAGTGGCACTCACAGGCTAGGGCCATGGAGAGGTTCTTGGTGAGAGTCCATCCCCCTGTCAGCATTACTGGAAGTCTCCCAGCCTTGGGCAGGGGAGATGGAGATCTTTAAATTCATGAAGCCAGAAAGGACCAGATCTTACTGTGACTTGTCCTCTCCAAACTGCCTGAAGCCCCCAAACAGCTTCTGCAGATCAGAAACAGAAAACCAAGGTTATGTGCAATTGTTTCCAAACTCTTTTCACCTTCCCAAGTTTCAGAAGCTTAACTTCCCCCTCCTCTGCCCTGTAAAATAATAATAAAAAAAATTGCTTTAAACATGCTCTCTGAGTGATTTTGGATGGTTGATTCAAGAGCTGTTTTGGATAAGGTCACAAAAGCTTTGAAGGCGTCCCAGAATTTTAACAGCTTCAGGAAAAAGAGCGTTTGATCTAAACTTGGCAATTTCTCCATGAAAAAAATCCCTGCTTAGAAGGTCTTCCAGGCCGTGCAGTGCAGGGCCTGGCTGTCACGCTGCAGCAATGCTGCCGGAAGACACACTTCCCAAAAGCTTCTGCTGGGCCTGAAGACACCCGGGGAACGCGGCGGGAGCCTGCCCTCCTCCCCGGGAATGCGCGGCACCTTTCTGTCTGTAAGTGTGGGTGCTTGCTGGTGAATGCAGCAGACCAGCTGCTGGCAAATCCCTCTGAGCACCAGCTGCCTGGGGGCTGCAAGGGGGACAGGCTTGGGGAGGAAGAGTGCCGGGTTTGTGAATGGCTGCTCTGTCCCCAAACGGGCCGCTTGCAGCCGCCGCCGCACCGTGGATGGATGCTGCAGCTGCCGGCATGACCGGTGGTGCAAAGCACCTACTGGGGGCAAAGCCTACCCTAAATTTATTAGCTTGTCAGACTGCAGATGGATGCCTGTGCCTGCAATGCCAGCAGCAGCTCCCCTCCCCAGGATTAGGCTCCGCGGCGTGCCCATCTCACCATCCCCTGCTCGACTCCTGTTACAGCCCCTGGGGAGGGATGGCTGGCGGTCACAGGCAGGCAGCCGGGCTCTGCTGTTCCCAAATACTCGACTGGGCTGCGTGTGGGGTTGGGAAGCCTTTCAGCCTGCGGGTTTCCAACCAGTGCTTGCCTGTAGCTCCATTTTGCTGCCAGCTGGGGTGTTCAGTGGGGACTGGTCCCTCACTTTGTGGGCTGGCAGGGCGGTAGCTCCTGGTGGGGAGCAGGTAGCCTTGTGTATGCAAGTGCAATGAGCCAGAGAGAGTTCAGGCTTAGCAGAAGGAAAAGCCTTTCATCGAGGCACTGTGCAGCTATAGAAATTACAGTTCTTTCCGGCAGATGTCAGCTGGGAATGGGAATCAGATGCAGAGGCCACGGGGGGACATCACAGGACTTCTTGGAAATGGTACTCTTGCAGTTCCCAGAATGAGGTGCTGTGGTGGCTGTTCACACAACATTAGGAAAACCTACCTGCCAGCTAGCTGTGCTAATAGCCATGGGGCCTCCTGAAAGTCTTGTGTGCCAGACAGCCCTTGGGAAGGGTAGGGTTGCCCTGGATGAAGTGTGAGCTGTGTATGAAAATGATTTTGTTCCTTGTCCCTGGAACAGAAAGGGAAGAAACCACCATGGGCTCGTTCAGTCCATGGTCCTGCTGCCAAGTGTAGTCAGGAGCTAATATTTATGGAAAATATAAGCAGCAGGGTCAATCCGTGGTGATTCCTTTGCTAGGATACTCTTGTGGCTTCCTGCGGTTGGCAGCTTAGGGTTCATTCACTTCAACCACACGTCTGTGAGGGTCTAGGGGAGAGCTTTGCATGAATGGCTTTGGGGAGAGAGTCATGACTTGGCTCCCTGCAGAAGAGGAGGGAGCATTAACCAGCACGAACCAAATGAAAACCAGAGCTGCTGATGGCAGCAGCGTGAATGAGGCAGCGAAGGGTGTGAGAGATATAAGGGTGGCGAGGGTGGAAAGGGATGCCAGGGGCAGTGCAGGGTGAGAAACCTTAATGAGGAAAGGAAGAGAACAGAGTAAAACCTGGGCTGTGGGAATGACTGCGTCATGGGGATGGCTGTTCTCGTCTGATAGCAGAGCAGGAAAGGAAAACTCTTCCGAGAGTATTTCCCCAGCCTTGTTCTGGTCAGAGCAGGATAAGGCCTTGGAAAGGCCAGAAGACAGTGGAGAGCCCTGATGAGCGAGGGGATGGGTACGGAGTGTGTTGGAAAGTGGATGGTGGGGAAAACAGACGATAAATGGGGAGGAGATTTGGTATGTCCTGATTTAGCTCTTTCTAGTCAAAGGCATTTTTGAGTCAGCCAACACCAGAGCCAATTCATGCTGATGAGTCCTTGCTCCTGCTTTTTGCTCCTGCTATGGGACCTTCTTTGTGGGAACAGACGTAAGCTGGGCTCAGGCATTGCTGCAGGTTCACAGCTCCTCTGGCTGGTGCAAACAGGAGGCTCCTCACCATGGAGATCAAAAGTGTCCTGGCCAGCCCTGAAATCTGTGTGCTAGCCATTGGGAAGTGTCCAGGTGGCCACTTGCTCAAGCAGTTTTCCCCTGAAAAAGGCGCTGCTCCTACTCCAAGCTAGCGCTGCGGTGAGTGGGAGGTGCTGGCTGTGGCCAGCTCAGGTCTGCCTGTGCTGATCCACCGCCGCCGAGCGCGGTGGGGAAGGTGGCCGAGCGCCCAGCTCGCTGCCCAGCCGGTCACACACATCCTGATGTCATTCCACGGAAAAGGCAGGTGACATCTGCTGTCAAGTGACATTTGTAGGACACCAAGCTGGCTGTGATGCAATCAAGGTTGCTTCTGTTCAATGGAAACTTTTGGATCAGTTTACGGGCTGTGACACTTCGCAAAATGTTGAGGGCTTCACGGAGGGGCGAGTGCCTGTTTTCTAACATTAGCCTTAATCTCATCAAAACATGCCTCTTCCCCTAAAAGCGACAGTGCGCTCACCGTCTGCTCCCAGCCAGTGTTACAGGAGATGGCCATGTGATTCACTCGCCTCTGTTCAGGAATGAAGTGTTGGGATTTTTTCCTCAAAAATAGACCTATTCCTAGGAGCGATAAAAGACTTGGATAAGCCCATCTGTTTTCCACTCACAATACTTTTTCTGCTGTGCAATTTAAAGAATGCGATGAGCCCAGAATAACACATACCCTGTCCTGCCAGAGCGCTTTGTTTTTCTGATGATTCCTTGTCCCTGCAGGAGCAGACTTGCTATGTGGCTGGTTGCAGTGTTCCTCATGCTGCTGTCCCCTCTGTCTCCTCCGCAGGGTACCCGCAGCCGGAGGTGACATGGTACAAGGATGATGAAGAGATGGACCGCTACTGTGGCTTACCTAAGTATGAGATTTTCCGCCATGGAAATCGCCACACCCTGCAGCTGTACAAGTGAGTAAGGAAGCTGGAGAGTGGTTGGATTTGCTGGTGGGAGCTCGTTTTGGTGACTCGGAGAAGCCGGCTGTCAGCAGCGATCCCCCCAGTGCCAGTGCTCCCCATTGCAGTGTTCCCAGCCAGCCCTTCCCAGTCAGCTCTTCTCTCTGGTGACTCCCAGATCACATCAGGATGAGCTCTGTTACTGCATCCAGGGATAGCAGCCATGCTGGAAGCAAGAGGAAGGTCGGGAGAAATTCCCCTCCCTGGAGCCTTCCAGTGCTGTAACAGTGTGTGCTGTTGCTGCAAGAGACGGGAGCAGAGTGTTAGGAGTAACGCCAGGTGGGCGAAGGGAAAGCACTGGCTACATCCAGGAGGATGATGATGGTTCAGGGATCAGGCAGGATAAGGACAAAAGCAGTTCATACAAGTGTCCTGAGCAAGGACAAAAGAGGGAAAAGGGCTGTAGCCCTGCCCTAGGAGGGCCTTTCCTAACTTCCACTGAGAGGACAGGGAAGGGAAGGGCTGCTTTGGCACTGTACTGGAAGAGTCGAGGGCCTCTTTATTCAGCCCAGGCTACCCGCTTCCTTTAGCTTCAGACAAGGACTGTGTTTCTGGAGAGCCAGGAACATGTTCGCAGCAAGCAGAGACCTGCTGCAGCTTGAGTCCTGGATTTGGGATGTCAGGCAGAGACCTGTATTGCTGATAGTCCTGTGATCCTTGGGATTCCAGCGTGGGCTTTTCTGCCGCTCCAGGTTTCCACGTGGCGCAGTTCTTGCAGGAGTGGTCCAGGAGTTCCAGGGGGTGAAGGCAGAGGTGTGCATGTACTTGTGCCTGCCAAGTTAGGTGGGAAGGCTCTGGTAAGGTGGCAGGACAGAGGAAGAGCAGGAATGTAAGACGCAAAGTTAGTCTGTGAAAAGCTGAGAGGAGAAGATCTTGTGGAAGAATGTGGCTGAGAACAGTCAGAAAGCTTGGTGCTGGCCGTTCCTCCTTCATCTCAGCCCTCTGTTAGCAGAGTTACAGCCCAAAGGGCACTGGGCACTGGTTTACATCTGGGTTGTTTATCTGTTAGTGCTGAGAGAAGGCAGAGCCAGCCCCAGGCCTCCAGACCCACCGCAGGCGCTGTGGGCCAACATCTGCATCTTCTGGCCCCTCTGTGGCAAGAAGTGGGAGAGGGCATGTGTGTGTACACAGCTGCAGTGCTTGGGGAGGATGGGCAGGTCTCATGCAGAGCTTTTGGTTTCCAGGTGCCGAGAGGAAGATGCAGGCATTTACCAGGCCTCAGCTAGAAATAACAAAGGCATCGTGTCCTGCTCAGGCGTGCTGGAAGTGGGAACCATGACGGAGTTCAAAATCCATCAGAAGTGGTTTGCCAAAATTAAGAGAAAAGCTGAAGAAAAACTGCGAGAGATAGAACAGAGCAAGAAACGAGGGAAAGAGAATGTGGAGGTGGAGAATGTGCAGGGAATGAGCCCTGATCGGCTCCAAAGAAAGCGGAGGCTGGCCAGGGATCTGAATCTCCGGTCAGGAGCCTCTCCATGGGAGAAAGAGGATGCGGCAAAAGTGCATGTTGGTGATTCTCAGTCCAGATTCCACGAGGCTGAGCTGAAGGAACAGTCAGTGAACACGATGGCTGGCTTACCAAACAAACTGGTTGCACCTTTGAAAGCAGAGGTGACCACCAATGGAGACGCTTGTTTGGAAAGTGCAGAAGAGAATGGGAATGGCTTTCTCGCGTACATCTACGAGACAGTGGAAGACCTAGTGGCTAAGCCAATGGCCAAAGACTCTGCAGCTAAAAAGAAAAAGAAAGTGGAGGATGCTCCAGCACCAAAGCAGGAAGTTTCAAAGCGAGAGGAAAGTGGGAGAGACAGGACAAAACCCTCAACAAATCCAAGGTTTGCCCCTCCCGTCCCCTTACGCAGGAGTGCACATCTGAGGGTAGCAAATGATCAAGAAGCGGAAAATACTCCAAAGATCAAAGAGTCTGGGAAAGCTGTGAATCAGGACACTAAAATTAATGGTGATGTGCACTTCTCTTTGAAAGAGATGTATTTTGATAATCAAGTGAACGCAGCAGCGGAGAAGGAAGAGGCAGGAGCCAAGGAAGAGGCTGCGAGAGAGGCTGCCCTGCAGCCCGCGGGTGTCAGCAGGCAGACAGAGGGTGCTTCGCCATCCTCAGAGGTGTCAAAGGCAGGACCTGCACCACCCGAGGGAAGGAAGAGCCAGCACACAGCACAGAAGTCGGAGGGACATAAAGCCGTCGGTCCAGAGGTAACTAGAACAGATCTCAGCCAACGTGGTTGTGGTGCAGCATCAGCCCTGGGAGGCTGCCTGCACCCCAAGGGAGCTGCTGCTGCAGCTTCGCAGGTCTCCTCCAGCAAAAACACCCGGGAAACTGTCTGGGCTTTGTGTGCCCAAGTGGCAGAGCTTCCAGCTGAGCACCCCATCTCCGAATAAATGTCAGACGAGGTGGCGAGGAGAGATGTACGTCAGGCCCTGCGGCTGGACAGCTGGTCAGCGAGCGGCCCAGGGCGTGCTGCGAGCTCTCCGGTTTAATCGGCAGCCTGACCTCATGCAGAATGCTTCCAAATCAGTTAAGCAGGGAGCTGTGAATGGCTATTTATAGCTGGGGGTGGATGCCTTGTGTGTACGTGAGACTGATGACATCTGTTCAGTTTAGCAGTTGAGCCTGAGCTTCAGCCGGCGTTTAATGAGCCCCCCATGCAAATGAGCGCAGCGTGCCAGGTATGCCACGTGAGCTGTGCCAGGCAGGGCGTTGAATTTTGTTTACAGTGCAACATGTATACAGTAGATCTGGGCTATTTTTTGGCTCTCCCCTGTTGGAAAAACTCTCTTGCAAGACTCATTGTGGTGGCCATGCAGAGCCAGGGCACCGCACCTGCTCCTGACCCTCAGTACATCTTTTAGTCAACTTCTATTTTTGTCACTTAACCACTTAACCTGACGCATTTTCCATGAAAAAATTAGACTGGAGGCTACCAGTTTTTTGCTTGTTTGTTTGTTTTGTGTTCTTTTTTTAAATTTGATGAAGCCTTCTGAGGTAAAGGGTTCTCTGAGTCCAATTTGCAGATGCCATCAGAATCCGGCGTTCAAGCAAGGGTAGGTGCACACTCTCAGTACAGACCAAGGCTGTCGGATGATGCTCTCCGGGTGTAGCACGTCTCCCTCAGTAGGTAACGCAGTACGTCTGGATGTGGGGACATCCATGATACAGAAAGTGGGACTGCCGGCTGCTCCAGTAAAAAAAAAAAAAAAATTCCTTTCTTCCTCTTATAGATTTCTTTAACCATAGACAGGAGCGCTCTTTATTCTCAGAAATATGCTGCTTTATGCAGTGTCTGGGTCCTGGACTCAAAGCAGTGAAGCCCACTTTAACCCATTGGCATCACATATTGCTGCATTAATTATTGCTCTGTGTGTAAGTCCATGGAAAAGCAATTCTTTTTCTCTCTCTCCTGCATTATTCTGCCCCTTGCTCTTAAGGAGGGTGGAACTTTGTGTACGGCAGCCAGGCTGTCATCCCTCAGCTTTTGACAATACATCAAGGTATTTTCCTCTTCAAAAACCCACTCACAGAGGAAACCTGTAACTTGACAGCTAGTGTGCTTTTTGAGCAGACAAAAAGCTTTTGATTTGAATTTGAATGCTTCAGCTAGTTAGTGTTGCTGGGGGAAGTACTGAGGCTTTTGTGTGACCAAATAAGCCATTTTAAAACCCTTTGAAGCTGACTCCAAGTGTGCTTGAGAATATTTATGCTCTCCAGGACACAGATTGCTTTTTATTTTATTTTTTAAATCTTTCCCTCAACCCAGACAGGGCCTTAGCAGTGTTTTCCTGGTCTTGGGACCTATCTGGTCCTTGTGCTCAGGTCTTCTCTTTGAGCTGGATTTATCTGTAGCAGAGGAACTTTATAAAACGCCAGCCACTAGCCAGGCTCTGAACATCCACATGCACAAGGGCAGAGGCAAAACTGGGTTTGAATGAAAACCAGCCTTGCAGTAGTTCTTGTATAATTTTGAAAATGGTGTTTTTATCACATTTCTTTGACAAGCCCCTAGTTCAGGTGTTTCACAGTTGTTCTTTAGGAGAGGTGCTTTTCTAAAAAGCCCCCAGCAAGTTCTTCTGAATGAGCTTTAGTTCCTGTGCCTCCAAGCCCCAAAAGATGGGCAGCCAAAGAGATGCCTCCCTTGGCAGCACTGTGGCACAGAGCTCGCTCTGAGCCTCCATCTGTGAACCTTGTTTTCCCCAAACTTCCTCGGTGTGCCGTGGTCCTTCACACTCTTTGCAGTTGAACAGATGGACTGGGGATGTGCAGTGACCATTCCCGTCCTTTTCTGTGGCACTGAGGACCAAAAACTGCAGTCCTACGTCTGAAGTGCCACAACCCTCTTTACCCATGGACCTCATTTTGGAGGCTTAAAACTCCTTCAGTAGAAAAACTTGAGCAGTGGATCCTCTGGGATGTCCTGCCTGCAGCCCCTCTTGATAGGGGAAGGGAAAACTGTTGTGTGACTGCCCCATTCCCACGCAGTTGTCCTGATGCTGCTAGCTGAGCACCAAACAGGCACAGCATATATCAGCGGTATCGCTACCTCCCCTGAACCTTATCCTACAGAAACAGGTAGTGTCCGTCCCTTGGCTGGAAGATATCACCAAATCTCCTCGGGATAAAGCTCAGCCATCGCAGTGGGCAGCTTGCTGAAATGTCTGCTAGTGTGCAGCTGCAGTCGGAAACATTTGAGCTTCCCGAATGTCAAAGAAACAGGATGGTCAAATAGCACAGATAACGTCAGGGTGTACAATTTCGCTATAAATCATTTAGGCAGCCTCATCCAGATACTGTGTGACATGCCGATCGCCCCATCTCAGAGTGGAGATTGCAGATATAGTGTCAGGGGAGTACTGACTCTTAAAAAAGAGCTTGAATTTTATACAAGGTCTTAGCAATGGCTGTTGAAAATGGGAAAGTGTTGCTCCTTGGGAAAGTGTGGTGTTGGAGGAGCTTGTATTTAAAGCCACTGAGTGACAGAGAAGCAGATCCCCTGCCTCTTGGTTATACTGCTGTGTCTTGAAAGGCAGCAGAGTTGGAGATGACAGTGAAAAACCACTTTGTGCAGTGTGACAGGGTGCTGTGGGACTCACTACCATGGGATGATGGAGAAGCAGCAAGGCCCTGGATGAGTACCAGCAGTACCAGGTTTGCACAGTTAAGATTCAGGATTCAAGCAGAGGCTGGGCAGTGCTGCATGGTACAAACAGACCATAGGCACCACTGAGCAGACCCAGGCAGTAAAATAATGTTTCCCATTTTCTTCTTTGACTAGGTTGCAGGAGCAGTGGGACGGTCTGCTAGTGACCTAAAACATCCAGTGTCTGGCCCAACAGTAGATACCGGTCAGCAAGCCAACAAGTTAGAGGAGCTCAAGAAGGAGACTCCGGTTTGCCAGGACACCAGGGGGGCTGGAAAAAGGACAAACCCCAGGCTGAGGCCTCAGGAGCCACCAAAGCCACCACCACCAGACCACACACAGCCCCACAAGGAGCAACCTCCCTCTAGGAAACAGTCAGAAGGACATTCCCATACTCCTGAGGGCAGAGAGGCCCGGCAAGGACTGTCAAATCAAGATGTTAAGAGCCAAGGTAATAAAGAGACATTGCCAAAGAAATTGAGTCCTCCAGAGCATGGAGAAAATACTCCTCCTGAGCAAAATGCACATCAGACAATGGTAAAGGATGGGAAGAGCAAAGAGACGGGTTTAGAGCCATCCAGGAGTGAGCCCTGTGCAGAGGCAAGAGGCAGCAGTATAGCAGAGTCATCCCCTGTGGTGGGAGGGACACATCGGGGGCTTCAGGAGGCTGAAACCCCAGCTCCTGCTTCAGGACGAGTGGCCAAGGAAGAATCATCCCCTGTGGTGGGAGGGACACCTTTGGGGCTTCAGGAGGCTGAAACCCCAGCTCCTGCTTCAGGACGAGTGGCTGAAGAAGAGTCGTCCCCTGTGGTAGGAGGGAAAACTCTGGGACTTCGGGAGACTGAAACCCCAGCTCCTGCTTCAGGACAAGTGGCCAGGGAAGTGTTGTCCCCTGTGGTAGGAGGGACACCTCAGGGGCTTTGGGAGGCTGAAACACCGGCTCCTGCTTCAGTACAAGTGGCCAAAGAAGAGTCATCCCCTGTGGTGGGAGGGACACCTCAGGGGCTTTGGGAGACTGAAACACCAGCTCCTGCTTCTGGACGAGTGGCCGAAGAAGGGCCAATCCCCCCTCTTGCAGCAGGGACATTGGTGGCACAGGAGGCCCTGCCTGCAGCTCACAGCAATAAAAGGAAGGAGCCTGCTGCAGGGGAGGCCCTGTCTGGAGCCCAGCTGCTGCCTCCTGCCAGCAAAGCCACAGAAACCAAAAAGGCAGATGGATCTGCACCGCAGGAGGAGTTTCCAGAAAGTTCTTCAGGGCAGGAGAGTGCCAAACAGGTGCCTGTACTACCTCAGAGGAAGGAAGGAGCAGAGCAAAGAGCTGCAGCTCCAAAGCAGGAGCCAGCAGCACCTTCGGGCACTTTTGAAAGAGGCACTGAGGTTCAGCCACAAGCACCACTGGTCCTGCCAAGCCCCGAGAAACCTCAGGAAATGACTTTGGAGGAGAAGATGCAGCACAAAAACCTTGTTTCCTCCTTGAAGAGCTACCTACTGCTGCTTTTAAAAATGTCAGATAGCAGCAACAGTGACACAAAAGAAGATGCTGAGCCCAGGGCTGAGGAGCAGCCCACTGCAGAGGAGGCTGTGCTCCCAGAGATAGGCATTGCAGGCCTGAGCCCCCGCACCTCAAGGAGAGTTTTGGAAAAGGTACAAAACAACCAGCTCTTCCAGACAGCAGAGAATTTGCCTCTGACTCCCAGGACAACCAGGCGGATCACAGGCCTGATTCAGGAGGAATTTGTTACCAGCAAAGAGATGCTGGCTTGCAGGCCCGTGCCGCCAAAGAGACGTACAAAGGTGGCTCCCGAAGCGGAGGGGTCATCCCAGCTCTCTGTGCCATCCATCGTGGTGGGCAGCATGCCAGCAGCAGGAGCGGGACAGCCTCCTAATACTGCTCCCATTTTGACTCCAGTGACCCCTGAGAAAGAGAGCCCTAGTGACCCTTTGGCTGCGCTACCTTGTGCCACACCAGAGGAGCTCGCTTCTGGGGCCCGCCGCAAAATATACCTGCCAAAAACGAAGCAAGCTGGGGAGGAAGAGGAGGCAACCCCGGAGAGCCAAGGGCATGCAAGAAGCCCTACTGTTTCACCACGGCAATCCAGGAAGAGCGCAGCCCTGCTGCAGACACCTACCCTGGCTCCATCCCCTCCAGCAGAGCAACGCTCGCCAACCCTCACGAGGAAGATGGCCACGTTGGAGGTTCCTAAGCTGTATGATGAACCCGCAGGTGACAGCAGCAATGATCCCGAAGTCCCTGAAGATGCTAAGCTAGAAGGGCAGCCAGCAGAATCCAAGAAAGCAAATAACCCATTTAAAGGTAAGGAAAGAGGTAATCCCCATGAAGCAGATTTCCCTGTTGCCTACGAAGGGAGCCTGGTCAACCAAGCTGGTGAGAGCCAGCTGGGGACATGTGAGTTCTGTGCATTTGCAGGGTTTTCAACATCGTCTTTTGTCTGTGTGAAAGCCCAAAGTGTGCTCCAAGTATTTGCAAAGTCAGATGTAGCTGGGTAAGATGGGCCAGATGCTCATCTGCCCGAGCACAAGAGATGCACAAGCACATCTGCTGTAGATAAACTGCTGGAGTCCGCCGTTCCCTACCACAGTTAGCACAGAGGAGGCAGAGGAAGGCCAGAGACAGTAGCGCTGAGACTGGCTGTCTCCACAGCCTGGACTTCCCAACCCAAGGGAATGACAGAACTAACTCTCTTGTTCTTGGCCATCATGCCCTGTTCCTCATGGTGCCTTGTGCTGCTCAGGGCTCCAGTGGGTGTAAGCAGGATGCACACACCTTTTCCACCTCTGTGGTTAATGCTGATGTGTTCCCTGGTGGCAGTGACTTAGAAAAGGCTTAATCCTGGTGTTGAGGTGCTTGCAGGAGCCAGGAGATAGCCTCACTGAAATCAGCACTCTTAGAATCTGAATCACTTAGGTTGGAAAAGACCTCTAAAATCATAAAGTCCAGTTCTTGCAAAAGTAGGGCTAACCTTACTGAATGCCTACCTTAGTAGATATGTTTCCTCCTACATTGCCTACTGTTCTTCTGCTTTGCCTCTGGCCGAGCCCCACTAGGCATTGCAGTGCTGTGCCGTTGAGAACATTTGTACCTCTTACTTCCCATCGTATTTAGAGCTCTGAGACCTTCTCTGGGAAGGCAACGTTGTACCAGGCGGCGCTGTGCTGATGTACTTGTGATACCCACCACCTAAGTCCGATTCAGCAGCACTGGGGTAGGCTGGCCTGTCCCCAGAGTTGCATCCAGCATTGTGTGTCTCACCATCAATCTCTTTGCACCCTGTCCTTAGCTCCACAGGTGATTCGTAAGATCAGGGCTGAACAATTTTCCGATGCATCAGGAAACCTGAAACTTTGGTGCCAGTTCTTCAATATTTTGAGTGATTCTAAGCTGATGTGGTACAAGGACGAGATCCCTGTAGCAGAAGCACAAAGGAGGTAACCTGCCAGCTCCACGTCATTGTAGTCCCTGTGCATAGCCCTGGGTTCATGTGTTAAATCCAGCTCTGGCCACTGTGTTTACTGTGGTAAAGATGCCCCTTTTCTTAAGGCTGCATGGGAAGCTCATTGCATGGCACAGTACATTGTGAACATCATTTGCTCAGTGCCCTGGGAGGGAGGATTGCTCAGACAGGGAATTGCTGCCCTACTTGTCCTACTGATGCTTCATCTAGAGTCTGGCTCAATGGCTGATGCTTTGATTCACAGAGCCCAGGGGAGGGCAGGGGCTGATCCAGACCTTGGAGAGGGCAGGGAAAGTGTTGTGCACATCTCAGAGCTTGAAAGCTGTGAGCAAACTACAGAACTGGGACCTCAACTGATACAGGGGAGGGCTGATCGCTGTGCTGGGAGGGCCTGCACTCTGCACTTCCATGCAACCAAGAGTGGCAAGCACCAAAGGAGAAAAAAGTAGCTCTGGTTTTTCTCTCTCTACCCCTTGGCACTGCCCTTGCACAGGAAAAGAACTTGTGTGTGGCTTGTATCTGGGATGCTCCTTAGGGTGTGTTACACAGAACAGCTTTGGCTCAAGCCCAGGTGAGCTCTAGCTTGTGTGGGAACATCATCCACATTGGATGAGATTTGCCTGATGCCTCTAAGAGTCATATGAGTGAGGATCCTTTATAATGGGCAGGCAGAAAGAGATGCTTCTGGGGCACCAGTGATGTCCTGCGGCAAATACTTGAGCTGAGGCAGGTGGACTAGGAGTGTCCATTTCCTTCTAGCTTAACAGTGTGGCCAGCTCAGCCGTGGGTCTTGGGAGGAAGGTCTCACCTCCTTCCTCTGCAACCTGTCATCCCCTTGCCAGTTCACACTGGCCATGCAAGGCAGAAATTGGCTTTTGGTTCCTGTGGGGACTGGTCTGCCTGGCGTGCTGCCACCTTGGCCAGGAGATGCCAGCCCAAAGCTTGGTTCTGCAGGTTCATGATTTATTGGTTCCTTGGAAAGGGAGAGGCTGCAGGATGGGGAGTAGTGTTTGTCCTCACTCCTGAATGGCTGAAAATGTAGGAGGAAGCTGGACACCTCCGTGTTTGACTTCCAGCTATCTCACCCAGACAAGCATTTATTAGTCAGCTAATGCCCTGACCAAGCCAGACTCAGAGGCAACCACCTTTATCAACATGTAGCCCAACCCTGGCCAGAGTTTGCAGGGCTTGCCTGGGAGATGTGCATGTCCATGAGTATGAAGGGCCAGCCTCCTGATGCTGTGAGGTGCCAGGGGAGCAGCTAGGATGCTCCTGCCTTCCTGCATGCCCACCGGCTGGCTTCCTTTCCAGCCCTCTGCCCTCCCTCCAAAGCCAGCACGGTGCCCACCGCAGCGCCCTGGCTGGTGACAGGGCTCCAGGTGTCCCCATGCACTGCCTGAGGCTGACACCTTGCTCTGATTTCTTCCAGTGCTGGTGATGAGGGCCAGGCAGCCTTGGCCATTGTGCAGGCATCCCAGAAGGACTGCGGGGTCTACCGCTGTGTGATCAGCAATGAGTACGGCACTGACTCCACTGATTTCCTGCTCAGCCCAGAAGGTGAGGAGCCTTCAGCAACCTGCTGGGCTCTTACAGCTGCTGGGGTGTGTGGTGGGGTGGCACAGCGAGCCACAGGGAGGGTTTGGTGCTGGGCTGCAGAGGGGGAGCCCTGCAAGCCGCCTTGGCAAGGTGCATCTGCCTTGACCTGCTGCTTTGTGAGCAATTCGTGCCTTCCTCCTTGCCATCCCTTCATGTGGAAGTGCATGGGCCCTGAGGCAGGATGGGATCCTGGCTGAACCCTGACTCCTCTCCTGCTTTGTGTCTCCTCCAGTGCTGTCAGGATTCATCTTGCGGGAAGAGATCGAAGGTAAGGGTGATGTGCTGACAAGCCGCTGCCCCCACCTCCCCGCCGTGCTGTGGTGTGGGCAGGACGTGCCCGCGTGGTCCCTTCTCACCAGCTCTTCCCTCCACCAGTCGGCGAGGAGATCGAGATGACGCCCATGGTGTTCGCGAAGGGCTTGGCTGACGCAGGCTACTGGGGGGATAAGTTCTTCGGGCGTGTGGTGAGTGAGGACATGGAAGTGGGTGCTGGCTTCCTGCGCAAGGCCTGCCGTGCCAGAGCCATCTATGGCCTAGAGCCCATCTTCGAGTCCGGCCACACCTGCGTCATCAAAGTGCACAATTTTATTGTCTTTGGGACCAAGAATGAGAACAGCCTCATCGAGAAGAACTATGATATCACCATACAGGTGAGCACTGGAGGCTGGCATTTGTGGGGAGACCCCACTTTTTCCCCATCTGTTGGCACCACGGTCCCCAGCGCTATGCCTGCTTTCTTCCAGTTTTTGAATGCTTTGGATGGGTCAAGCCATATCCCTGTGGGCTTCAGCCCTTCTCTCTGAGCAATGCAGAGCTGCTCAGAGCTTTCCTGTCACCTGTCCTTTGACTGCTGGGACAGGGGAACAACTGGGAGTGGGCCCAAGGGATGCTTTTCCAGGAGGGGGGTCCCAGGGCTTTGTTGCAGGCTGGTTGGCACAAGGAGGGACAGGGCCCTGACTCTCCTGCTTGAATCTCCAGGAATGTAAAATCCAGAACTCTAGCCGTGAGTACTGCAAGATCTTTGCTGCTGAGGCACGAGCCGTCCCTGATTTTGGAGCAGTGCCTGAGTAAGTAGGGTGCTGCAGCCCCTTGGGCTTGACGGTGGGGCAGAGCTCCTTGGGAGACGGTGGGAGGGTTCTCCATGGGGCACTGGGGACATACCAGAGGGCAGCAACTTCTTCTCCTACCCTCAAACAGGAGAGATTTGGGGGGAAGGCAAAAGCCAGAGACTGATGTGTGGATCTCCATTTGCTGAGCTGTGTGTTACCACACAGGATAATTCCTCTGTACCTGATTTACCGACCGGCCAACAACATCCCTTACGCCACGATGGAGGAGGACCTGGGTGGGCCCTGTGAGCAGTACTGTGTCACCGAGAGAGATGGCAGCTTGGTGGCACGAGGCACCTCGGAGATTGTGCTCAAATGCTGTGCCTTCCAGCACTGGGTATACCAGTGGACGAATGGAAACATCCTTGTGACTGACATGGAAGGTAAAGGGGTATTCCCACACAATTCCCGTGGCCCTTCACCATTTGTGGGCTTGCAAAAGGAGGAGAACTACCCCCAGCCTTGCCCTCCTGACTGTTTCCCTATGTGCCTTGGAGCCCTGCTTAAAGGGTGATGAGCTGCCCTTGGCTCCGGTGCCCATCCTTGCCTGGGCAGGGGCTGGTTGTCCTCCCTTTCCTTGCAGGCGTGGGCTGGAAGATGACCAACGTGCGGATAGCTACCAACCTCAAAGGGTGAGTGACTCTCCAGATGTGGGGTGGCGTGGGGCATGATAGTAAGTGCCATCAGGTGGGACATCTCCGAGCACGAGGCGAGGCTGAGTGTGGCTGTGTTGGCAGGTACCAGGGGCTGAAGGAAAGCTGCTTCCCCTCCCTGTTGGAGCAATTCGCGGCCACTCACCAGTGCAACCATTACTGCAGCATCCTGGGCCTGAAGACTCTGGAGCCAGCCAAACCCAAGGGCTCCAAGAGCCCCTCCACAGGCAGGAAATCAACCCAGTCCAGCCCCCAGCTTCCGAAGAAGGGGATGGCGAGTCCCCAGGGCACCCGAAAGGCTACTGTGAGCCCCAGGAGCTCCCGGAGAGCAGTGGAAGCAGGGGACGCCCAAGCAGCCTCCAAACTCAGGTCTGGAGAGGGCAGTGGGTCTGGTTGCCCGCAGTAGTCGGAGCTGCGGCTGTGGGGACCCCCACTCCGCCCACCAGCCCAAGCAGCCGGAGGGCAGCGTGTGACCACGTGCTGTGGCTGCTCTCATCCCTTTGCTCCTGCCCCGGCTCCTCACGTTTGTGTTGTGTGGTGTGTGCTAGCGCAAGCCACTCGACTGGCTTCGCAGCAGGGCCGGCATAGCTGAGGGCATTGCGGCTCCCACCCGTGGGCCCCCTCTCACAGACCTCTCTGCAGAAGCTGCGTGGGGCCGTGCACGCCGCTGCGCCAGGACTTGCTTTCCACTCGTTCCATTTGGCTTGCTTGAACTGGTGCATTCAAGACGTGGGCCGTCAGACCAGCTCCCTCGGGCTTTGCCTATGCTGTGCCCCATTCCTGGCAGTGCTCCGCTGAGCTGACCAGGAGTGTGGGCTCTCCTCCTGGCTCCCAGCTCCTTTCTGCTCCCCCAGCACGTGTCACCACTCTCCCTCTTCATGTCCTCTGTAAAGCCCAGACAGTGCTCGGTGTCAGGGGTGTGAACCAAACCAGAGCCCGACCGGTCCTTTGCATGCTGATTTAAATTGTTTTGCTGCAGCAGGGTTTAGCGGTGAGCTGCAGCACTTGTGCTTGCCTGCTGCTATTGCTTGGGGCTCTGGGGTGCGGGCCAGCCCTGTGGCAGGGTGCTGGTGTTGGTGCCAGCAGCCGCACAGGGTGGGAGCTGCACCCCTCTCCTGGCCTCCATGGCCAGGTGGATGCTGAGGGCAGTGGTGCTGCTACAGGTAAGGATGCTCTACCTCAGATGGGGCGCCCAGGAGCGGGGCATTGCTGGCCACATGTGGTTAGTGTCACCCCCGCTTGGCGCAGTTACCCCAGTGGCAACATCTGCCCCTGTCCCTGCTGCCCTGGTGCCACACAGAGGCCAGCTCTGAGCCCCAGGTTCGCGTGCTGTGGCTGTGGTGGGAGGCATCGACGGGTGGGCAGCGGTGCCCCTGCTGCAAAGTAAAGCCCCCCACAGCGGGACAAGCCTCCTTTGTCTCATCCCATCACCTTCCCTAGGGCTCTGGAGAGGCGTGCTGGGTGACAGCGCTGCCACACCTAAGCATGGGGAGGGTGGTGGCACCCAAAACGGTGACTCGCTGCAGCCTGGCAGAGGAGGGAAGGTGCTGGGCTGGGAGCAGGGGTGTGCCCCGGTGCCCTGGTGCTGTCGTCAGATCATTGTAAAATAATGGTGTACATACATGGCCGCCTTGGCAAATGGGTGTGCTCGAGTGCAATAAAGTGAGAAGGACTGGCCTGGTCCCCAGCGCTGTGGTCGCTATGGAAAAGATGAACCCAAGCACGGCGGGACGGGGAGGCTTGTGTCTGGGGAAGGCAGGAAACAGCTTCAGCCGACAGCTTTACCCCATCCATGCCAGCTGTGGGGAGAGGAGAGGGGCTGGGCTCTGAAGCTGGCACCTGGTGGAGGCTCAATTTGCAAGGTTTGCAGCAAAAAACAGCTATGGCGAGCTTCAGTCATGGGATATGTACAGCCTGAGGTTTATTTTAGAGCAGTTCCCCTGTGTCCAAGGAGCCAACACCCAGGGCTGCAGATTGCAAGGTGCATGATGCTGTCTTTCATCACTGGAGTGGACAGGACCAGACACACACGTCCATGCTGGTTTTTTTCGTGCCTCTGGGACCGGCGTGTGCGGACCCTGGTGTTCCTTGGAGCTGGCAGCAGCCTGTGAGTTCCAGGGTTCACCATGTGCAGGATGTGTGGTTGTAGTGCCCACAGCACTGCATCAGCCATAGCTCGCTCTCTGCCTGGCCGTCCCAGACGCCAGTGAAGGAGAGTGTCCCGTTCTCCAGCACCGTGCTGAAAGGAGAGAGAGGCACGGTCAGGCCTAGAGTCACCTTTCCACCCCCATCCCCAAACTGATGGTTCAGAGGCTCACACCGGGCTCCTCATCCTCCCAGAGAGAGCCAGAGAGCTGGCTTGCTGGGTGTTGACTGTGCCCAGCTGCTGGAGGGTGAAGGAGATGGGACATGCGTGCAAGCTCCACGAGCCAGTCCCAACCCAGCCCTGTCTGCCACCCCCATGCACATGGGTCCCCAGGCAAGACCCTACAGCTCCAGACCCTCCCCGTGGCCCGGCCGCACACCCACCTAGCGAAGAGTTGCTTGCAGCATGTGTATATGGGGTAGCTGGTAGAGGTGAAGTTGGCAGTGCCGAAGAAGGTCACGCAGTCGCTCACCTCCGTTGGCACGTACATGAGGCCTGGGGGACAAGGCCTGGTGGTTTGGTCTCTGGGGGACCACACACTCAAATCCCACACCCTGACCGTGCATGCACCACATCCTCCCAGCTGGTTGCAGACAGTGGGAGCTCCTCACAACGCCTCAAAGTCCACCCTTGAAATATCCCAATTGCAGCCCAGGTGAGGGTGAGGAGCCCCAGCAGTGCCATGGGATTTGGGGGACCCTGAGAAACTGCCACAGGGGGGAGAGAGCAGAGGGTTTGGAGGCCCTGTCAGAGCCATGGGGGTGGCCCCCAGCCTTCCCACACCTGTACCAGCATTTGTAGGGGCGTTCAGCCCTTTGCCCGTTCTCCCCAGGGACCTACCTGCCAGGCAGGAGTTGAGCATGGAGACGCAGATGCCGGTGAGCAGGGCTCGCAGCACGATGGAGGCAAAGTCACTCTTGCGGTGGGGAACAAGGGAGGCTGCGGGGACAAAGCAGAGAGGAGGGCAAGTCAGATCCTTGCTCTGCTTCTGGCCCCGGTCGGGGACACAGAAAGAAGAGACATGTCCCAGGTCCCCATCTGGCTCTGCCATCCAGTGCCCTGCCCAACCACGCTGGTGTAGCATCGTGTTTGGTGGTCCTGGCCACGGCCCAGCCTGTCTGCCCAGCCTGTGTTGGGGGTGGAAGTCCCATTTCTTAGCAGCATGCTATCAGAGGCTGAACGCTGAGGCTTGAAGGCAGCAAATTCCTCCCGCCCACAGGTCCCATTGCCCCACACCCAAGCACCCAGGACGTGGGTCACACTCACTCAGGCCTCCCAGCATGATCCCGATGGAGCTGATGTTGGCAAATCCACAGAGTGCAAAGGTGGTGATAGTCTCAGCACGCTCCTGCAGGGCGCAAAGGCAGGGGACAGTCACCTTGACCCAGCCCCACAGCGCCCTGTGCTGAGCTCCGTGGTGTAGCTCCCAGCCCAGCCAGCCAGGGTGGAGATAAGTCCCCACCCCAATCCTTTCTCCTTCAGCTTTTTTTTTTTTGGCAGCAAGGAGGCGAGGGAGGGACAGCCTGCCTGTGGAAGAGGTCGGGCTGGCAGCATGAGGGAGGCCCTACAGTATCATGATCTGCCCTGCTGGAGAGCAGAACCAGTGGGACATGACTTCAGTGGGTCCTTCAGGATGACCCCAAACCCAGTAGTGAGTGGGCATTCAAGTCTAGTTGGCTGTGGGTGTCCTCCCGTCCCCCAAACCATCACCCCCCTGCCCTGCCAGGCCCCGTGCCCCGTTTGAGCTGGCTCTATCAGTGCCCTATGCCCGGTGGGGTTGGCAGTTGCCCTCACAGATATCCACTGCTTCTGGCCCCCGTTCCACTCCTCCAGGCCGTCCAGCCGATTCTTCTTGTACGTGGCCAGCTGCTGGTATGCCACGAACTCATTCAGGAAGATCTTGATCCCCAGGAGCTCGGCCACCACTGGCGAGTCTGCCCAGTCTGCCCCCATGAGAAAGGCCACGGGCATGAGGACGTAGGAGCAGATCATCTGGGAAGAGCGCGCCAGGAGGGAGCACCACAGAGCTGAGCCCCTTCGTAGCCCCCAGCTTGGGCACCCGCCGCCAGCATTCACCAAGCACCAGCAAGGTGAACGTTAGGCAAGGGGGGGTCTTGGCAGCCCACTGAGGCAGCGGGCGAAGGTGGGGATGGGCAGGGGATTCGGGGATACCTGAAAGGAGAGGTCTTTGATGTTCACCATCTCCCCGAACCACAGCAAGGCAGCGTTGATGAACTCCAGCACAGCCAAGAAGGCGATGAGGTTGGCTGCGATGTTGGCCACAAGACCCACCGAGGCGGCAGCCCCACTGCTAGCAGCTTCCAGGACGTTCTGCTCTTCCCTGGGAGAAAAAAAGACCCAGACAGGCTCACGTGGCCTGGCAACACCACTGTGAGGTTGGTCCTGCTCTGTGGATGTACTGCGCTGTCTGCACAGTGCAGGGTCTCCCAACCTTCTGCCACCTGCCATGCCCCAATTGCTCCCACAGCTTCCCTGCTGTGGTGGGATGTGTGCGACCCCACTGCCCCATCCCACTGCTCCCACTCACCCGCTGGCGATGTGGACGCTTTCCTTGCCCTTGAACTTGGACTCTTCCACTTCGGGGTAGACCAGTTTGGACATAGCGAGGGCACAGGGCGCAGCCATCACGGAGGCTGCAATCAGTGATGCTGCATCTATCTGCAACAGGCAGACCATGGGCTCAGGCACTGCAGCTCCGTGCAAGGCTGCACAGGGCTGCCCAAGGACATGGCCAGCAACACCTGGAGCAGTGCCAGGCTCTCTGGTTGCTCAGGGTTGGAAAATGTCTCTGCATTTCCCATCTTGGCAATTGAGGAGGCATAGGTCTGGATGGAGACATTGCTGGAGCCACAGCAATCATAACCTCAGATGTTAATCTCTTGCTGTCTGACTTAACCTCGATGATTTTTGTCCCCTCCCTGTCCCTTTCTGTCATTATCATTATCAGAGCAATAAGTTGTGCAACATTGTGAACTTCCACCCCCACCGAACAACCGAGCTCCCAGCAGGAGCAGAGTATTACCCTAACAGCCTCATCTCACCCCTCCCCTGCCCTCTGTGCGGCAATTTCTCATCTCTCTGTCCTTTCACCCGTGGCTCCCTCCTTAAGTAGCCTAATTAATGTTTAAATAGCAGTAGCTCAGCCAGAAGGTCAAGGGGAAGGTTTATTCCCCAGTACGGAGCACTGATGAGGCCACATCTGGACACCACGTCCATCTCTGAGACAATGATGAACTGGGGAGAACACTCCTGGCTGCGGCACGGGACAGCCGAGGAGATGCTGGAGGAGTTGGGCTTGTTCAGCTGGGAGAAAGGAGGGCTGAGCAGGTGGGAGCTGCAGTCCCCAGGTACTTAAAAGGGGGCTGAAGGGAAGACACTTCCCAGAGGTCCCTGGTGAAAGGCTGAGAAGCACAGTACAGGTTGCAGTGGGGGAATTCCTGCTGGACATGAGGAAAAATTTGTTCCCAGTGAATCTGTGGGGCAGAACAGAGAGGTGGGGAGGATCTCCACCATGGAGATGTTCACTGCTAACCTGGACAAGCATCCCGCTCAGGCTTTGCCATTACCCAGTCTGGGCAAGAGGGTGGACCAGAGACCTCCAAAGGGGTCTTCCAGGCTAAATCATTCCCTGATTCAATAAGATCTACCCTGATTGCTGCGGAAGGGTCCCTGGCAGAGCTCTGGGGTTTTGACAAGCCAGCAGAGGTGAGGTGAGACTGTGCATGGAGAACCCTGGCCCGTTATGGAAGAAGACCACAGTGGGTCCTTTTCCCCCACAAGCTGAGGGCAGTTCTGGCATGTCAGAACCCCTGAGCAGGGAAAACGTGGCTTATATCTGGCCATGCACTCACCCCAAAAGATATATAGGCTCCCATCACGCTGCCTGCAATGGTGGAAAAGCCCCCAGTCATCACAGCATGGATTTCTGAATAGGTCATGTCCGCAAGGTACGGGCGGATGAGCAGTGGGGCTTCAGTCTGTGTGAAAGAAAAGCCTCTGTTGTCACCATGCAGGGCTGTAGGTCTCCTGGGAAGGGAGGAGAAGACCCTTCCTCTGGGGCAGCCTCAGCTGCAAGGACTGAGGGGCTGGATCTCCTCCCCAGAGCCTTACCTGTCCCACAAAAATGTTCCCTGCCACACTCAGGGTCTCAGTAGGGGTGGTGCCCATTGAGAACTGAAGCAGCCAGGAGATCTGGGGACAGACAAGGCCACGGTGTCCCCAAAGGCTCCTGACACCCCACCACCCACCCTGTGAAGCAGAGCACCATCTGGTCCTCCAGCCTGCCCTTGCCAAGCGGCATGGTGGTGGTCTCCAGAAGTGCCCAAAGACCAGGTAGCACCAACAACCCCAGGGCTGGGCTTTCTCAGGAAGATGTGCATGAAAGAGGGGTCATGATAGACGTGTCTATCATTTTAGCAGAACAAGTCAAACCAAATTAGTACCATCCCAATTTTCCAGGGACATCCATCAACTTTTCATTGGGGCTGCAGAAACCACCTGGTCCTTCTCCTGTCCACCACCATCACAGAGCTAGACACAAGGCCCTACCTTCAGGATGAGCCACTGCATGGCACCGAGGTAATAGAGGATGGACATCACACAGCTGAAGAAAACAATGATGGGCAGAGACTGCAGACAAGACACCAGGGTGCAGGATTAAAGGGGAGTTGAGCAGAACATCTAAGTACACTTGGGGACCAGGCTCCCCTGCCACATGGGCTGGGCATGGTGTTGCATATCCAGCCCACATTATTGGGGTGCCACAACACTGGGCGAGCCCAGCAGGAGGGACAGGAACCAGTATAAATTCCCCATGGCTCTGAGGAGGTCCATGGGTGGGCACAAAGCTAAGGGAGACCCATCCTTGAGCTGGTTGAGCTCTGGACAAGGCCAGAAGAAAACCAGGCTCTGCCTCTCCCTCCCCACATCCCATTCCCCAAGCTGACCTGAAAGGCAAAGACTTCTTCAACGAGCGTGTTCCCAAAGACAAAGACGGAGCCAGCTTTGGTGTAGCCCAGGAAGATCTGCAATTGAGGACATCTTATGTTAAGAGGGAGATCTCCATGAGCTCTGCCTAGCAGGTGACTGCCCCCCAATCCCACAGCCAGATTCATTGCCCCAGCAGATAAAGACCCCGTGATACCTAGGCTGGGGATAGTGGTGGGGTGTCCCTGAGGCATGGGGCACTACTCCAGCCTGCAAGGGACACTGTGCCAAAGGGCCTGGGCTGTGCCACAAAACCAGGAAAGAGCTGGCTTTTCTCCAGTCTCAACAAGAATGCTGGCGTGCATTCCCTGCCACTCCTCCAGCCCATGCCACGCTTGGCTCTACTTACTGGTCGCAATGGGAGCTACCTGGAGGGCTTAAGCATGGGACGGGGTGAGCAGAAACAGTACCTGGATCTGGTCACCCAGCCACCGGAAAGCTTGGATGCCAGGGGTTGTTCGGAGGATGAAGAGGCCAATTAAGAATTCCAAGGTAATACCCCAGAAAACAGCTCTCCAGGACACCTGGGGACCAAGAGTAGAATGAGGACCAAAGCGTTACCAAAGCCTACAGACTTACCTCTCTGGCTTCCTGCCCTTTCAGTGGCTCTTGGGTGGTGGTCAGGGGAATGCTATTTGTCAAGAATTCTCTCAGAAACCTACGAACATAGGCTGGTGATAGAGGGAGAAGACAAGTTGGTGGGAGTCAGGAAATGGCTGGTGAGGAGAAGGGCGGTGGAGACCTTCTTGTGGTAGTACAGACCCCCTAGAGCAAAATTGCTTGTTCACTAACACTTTGGAGGAAGGGGATGGAGGGATTGCCCAAAACATTGAAAAGGGCTGGGCTGGAAACCCCTGGGACTTCAATCACTTCTGCCCCTCCACCCACAGGCACCTGAAGCTCAGGCATGGCTCTGGTGCTGGGTCTCTGGGTCTGCCCCAGTGTGAAAGACACGGTGGAAAACAGGGTAAGGGGACCACGGGGGAGCCCTGGGTCAGGCAGGAGAGCAGTCTGGTGGCTTTGGGGCTGCAGCCATCCACCCTGGGCTCTGCTCCCCAGGCTGTGGCCAGCTCTGCCCAGGGGCCCTGCTGGGCTTTTGTGTCCTCCAGGGAGCCTGGGGACTTCTCCCCTGCTCCAGCCATGGGCCATCAGGGGATGATAATGGGAAAGAAGCATTTGTTCCCCACATCCTCCTCAGCTCTCAGTGCTGGGTGGCCACCTCTGGTGAGGCCACGCCACACCTGAAACACATACTGCGCTGTGATGCTTGGAGAAGACGAACAGAAACAGCAAAATAAAGCAGAAGCCAGCTAATGAGATGAGCTGCTCTGGGTTTCTGGCAGTGTCCAAAGCCAGCCACGTGACCAGGCCGCCCAGGAGGACCACGATCAGCAGCCTGCAAAGTAAATCCCAGACTGTCACAGAGAGGAAGCCCCCATGAAGGCAGGAGCTAATTGTGCGGGAGATGTCACCCTACGGGCTGTGCATCTGAGGAAACCCGGGTCTCAGATGCAGATGAGGGGTACAGCTAGCCATCAGGCTACTGAGGTAGAGAGGTGGTGGCAAGCCATTTCTGCCATGGCTTCTACGTGGCAGGGCCATGCCTCACCACCCATGAGGTGCCTGCACAACACTAGGGCACATCCCCAGTGCTACCAGCTATCAGTCACGCCAGCCCCGCTCTGGCCAGACAACCACAGGATAGGGGACCCAGGCTCTGGGGGGATGCGGCCCTGTCTCCTCCTCACTCACCATTTCAGCCATCGCCAGGATTTTTGGAAGCATTTCTGAACAGGGCTGAGGAGCTGCAATACCTTTGCCCCACAGTACTTCTTGAAGAGGCTCCATAGCATGAAGAAGACAACCACAGCAGTTATGATGAGCAAGGCAAGGGCTCGCTGGAAGTTGAGCCAACAGGCCGCAATGAGGTAGCACAGGTAGGCTGGAGAAGGCATGAATGGGGTCAGAAACATCAGAACCATAGGGATTCACAATGCTAATTGTGGCAAACAGGTCTGTTTCCTCAAAACATCCTTCCCTGACCACCCCTGAGACTCTTGTTTATGCATGGGGGGGGGGGGTTAGGTAGCACCACCTGAGCAGCCAGGCTCCTTGGTGACAGCATCTCAGCTGTGTGGGTGCACACAGAGTGAGCAGAGGCAGAGCAAACTCTTTGTGTAGGTGGAGAAAGGGGAGGACAGTGAGATGCGGGGAGCTCTCATGGACAGGAGCAGCGGGGTGAGGAGGACTTGGACAATGGGGCTGGTGAGGATAGACACAACCTCCATGTGGGCAGTGGTGCCTGTTGCTCGGAGGCTGGGGGCACAGCCAGCCCAGGGGATGTGGAGTTGGGGTCTCAGTGCTGGGAAGTCCTCACCTACTCCAAAGATCCCCCAGGCGACCATCCGCAGTGTCTTGGCATGAGCCTTGCAGAAGCGCTTTGCCTTGGATGCTGGCTGCAGAGCCTTCCTGGGGAGAGTCACACACCAGAGACACGAGAGGTGCAGATTTATCCTGAAGATCAGCCCAATTTTGGACTCACTGTGACCACTGGAAATACTTCACATGCATGAATTTACAGGGGTTATCCTACCTGCAGTATGAGGAGACTCTCCCTTTCCCTTCTCCTTGCCTTTCCTCCTTGCTCCCACCACGTGGACCATCATGGTTCTCCTCATGGAGTCCCTCCTCACCCTGGAAAACATTGTTAGCTGGAGCACCCCAAGCAGCTCCTGTGGCCCAGTGGGAGGGGAAGGGGGTGATTTACCGGAGATTCAAAAGCTGGGTTGTCTATGCCCTTCTCAAGGCTGTCCAGGGATATCTGGTTTTCTTCCATCTCCGGGTGCGCCATTGCTTCACCGCATTAGAGAAACAGCACGGCGAGGGACCAGCTGCCCGGGGAGAGAAAGCTGGGATCAGCTCTGGGAGGGACAAATATCTGACCCCTGTTGACAGTTTGGGGTCTCTGAGGAGAACACCCTTTGCAGTTAGCATTCAGAGCAGCTCCTGCACCAGCAAAGCACCAGATCATCCCGTGGGGTCCTCAAGCCACAGGGCTGGTGCCCAGGCTTGCTTGTTCTCCTGTAACTATGAGACGGTCCTTGTTCTTCCATGCTTCCAAAGAATTACAGGAGAGAAATTGACCCCAGCAGTGCTGCAGGGAGAGCTAGCACCCCTCCTCCAAGGTGCAGAAGATGTATGCAAAAATGTTGTGGGGGGCTGCAAAAAATAAGAGTGGTCGCATGTCCCATCAGGAGCTCTTGGAGCACCCATGTCCTTCAGTTGAGGATAAGGAAGGTCTTTTCCTGTCGGTAACTAGTACAGCACAGGAGTGATGGGTAGGAGTAAACTGTGATTTGCATGGGGACCAGTCCTAAAGGAAGATTGTACTGGGAGAACTGGTCCAGCAAAGCTAGAAGAACCAGTGTTCCCACCAGCACGGGGATCCTTGCAGCATCTTGTTCGGGCACCCTCCCGCTACCTCTGCCTGGAGAAGGACAGGGGAAGTGCAGAGGAGTCACAGAGAAGGTGGCGGGTGGCTGCAGGAGCACTCTTGCATGAGGAGAAAGGGAATGGCGAGGAGCCCTTGCTCTGGAGGTCTGAGTGTCAGGACAGCAAGGACAGGGCGGAAAGGGCAGGCTCACGGTTCCCACGGCCCAAGGAACAGGCTCCACCAAGGACAGCAGGCCCCCTCCAGCCCAGGGACCCCCCCAGCACCTCCCAGTCCCAGGGTCTGGGGACCCCCTTGGGTCTTCCCCAGTGCTCCCAGCCCCCCCCCAGAGCCACAGGCACTTGCACCCCGAGGCAGGGGGGGGCCAGTGCCCACCTCCCCCTTCCCCCATGGCTCTGCTGCCTTTTATTTTGCTGAGGCCTCCTTGGCCACCCTCCTCCCTGGGGTGGTGCCAGGTGAGCAGGCAGACAACTGACGCCCCCCTCCCATGCCCCTTGTGCCCCCCATGCTGGACCACGGTGCTCCCCATGGCCCCTGCCCAGCTGTGGGGCCCCACAGCCACACGCAGGGCCCTTGTCCTTGTCCCCCACCCCAGTCCCTGTGCCCACTGGGCCCCAGCGCTCACCCGCCAGCCCCGCAGCTCCGGCCTGGTGCCGTGCAGTTACGGATTAACAGCTCAGTCCAAAGAGCTGGTTCAACCCATAGCGAGCGATAGCTCGATAGCTCGGCTCCTCCCGGGCTCACGCCCTGGCACCCAGCCCTAGCTGCACTGTGAGCAGCGAGGGTGCTGGAGGAACACGGCTGCACCCTGAGGGTGCTGGAGGGACACGGCTACACCCTGAGGGTGCTGGAGGGACATGGCTGCACCCTGAGGGTGCTGGAGGAACACGGCTACACCCTGAGGGTGCTGGAGGGACATGGCTGCACCCTGAGGGTGCTGGAGGGACATGGCTGCACCCTGAGGGTGCTGGAGGAGCACGGCAGGGCAGCCACAGCTGCACCCAAACCCCAGCGGTGCTCCCATCCCAGCAGGGCGCTTTGCGGGAAGCAAGCTGGAAGAAGGAATGCCTGGAAAAAAAATTTAAAAAAAATAAATAAATCTAAAAGGGTGTTAAACAGAGAGGGCCCCTCCCGGCCCCGCCCCCCCCACGCTTAAGAGGGCGCCCGGCGAGCTGAGCGCGCAGAGCCCCGGTAGCGCGCCGTGATCGTATAGTGGTTAGTACTCTGCGTTGTGGCCGCAGCAACCTCGGTTCGAATCCGAGTCACGGCATCGCCCCGGCGGTACCACGGCACACGGGCTCCCAATTTTTTAATTTTTTTTTTCCTTTGTTCCCCTCCTTCCCCGCACTTCCCATCGCACTCCCCCGTGGCACGGACGCCTCGCGGGCCCGTCCCGCTCGCTTCCACCATTTTCTCTCAGCGCAGCCCCGCGGCGGCAGCGCGGCCTCGGGGGCTGGAGCCAGGACCCCCCCGGACCCCGACAGTGCCCGGCGGCTGTGTCAGGGCCCCCGGGAGCCTTCCCTGGCCTCATCCCGGCCCCGCAGCCCCCGGCGAGGCGGTGGAAGGAGCCGGTGGGGGTAGCGAGGGGGTGGGGAGAACGAGCGAAAATTGTGCAAAAACAGGGCTAAAAGTATACGAGGCGACACGAAGGGCGTGCTAGAGCATGTTGGGGAACGAGGGGAGTAAGGGCAAAAAAAAATAAAAACTGAGAGCCCGTGTGCCGTGGTACCGCCGGGGCGATGCCGTGACTCGGATTCGAACCGAGGTTGCTGCGGCCACAACGCAGAGTACTAACCACTATACGATCACGGCGCGCTACCGGGGCTCTGCGCGCCCAGCTCGCCGGGCGCGCTGTTAAGCGCAGGGGGCGCTGAGCTCACGGCGGGGCGGGCCCCGGGCGTTGCTATGGCGACACCGGGAGGGGAGGGCCCCCCCCCCCCTCCGCTCGGCCTTGTGCGCATGCGCGCACCCCGCGCGGCTCTGCCTCAGTGCTGTGAGGGCCGCTGGTGGTGGTGTGCCAGGAGGCTCTCACGTTGTTTTCCCATCCATAACGTCCACCGAGTTCTCGTTGAATTGAATGAAACCCCTCTGTCCAGTTCTGATTGAATTTAATAAAGCCCTCTCGTCGAGTTCTGGTTGAATTTAGTAAAATCAAGGCTCACAGCAAAGGGGCTCTGCATCAGCTCCTGTCACATCTGCCCATATACCAAAAGGGCTCAGAGGTGTGAAGGGAGGCAGAACGGCCCTTTTGTGCCCCCCCTTTGTCCGTGCCCATCTCCTCCTTCCCTCAGCCTCCGCTTTAACATGCCCTGGGCCCTGGTGCACGTGCTGGTCCCTCAGCAGCAGCAGGAACCACTGCATCTCCACATCAAACCCGGGGGCTGGTGCATGAGGGGCTCTCTGGTGGCATCTCTCACTGCCCTGCATGTCTGGGTGGCTTTTGGGCACCTCCTGCCCCAGTGCTGCCTTTCAGCTCCCCTTGTCTGCACCCAAAGAGTTCCAGTCTGTCCCTCCTGCAGGGCTATGGGGTGCTCCTGCTCATCTACGGCCACCCTTGTCACCATCTGCGTCCTCATGCTGGGCCTGGAGTGGGTGCAGTAATTTCCATGTTGGACCAGCGCGGCTGTGGTGGGGACAAAGCAACCAAAGGAGAAGGTGGGATGCTGTGGAGGTGCAGAGCATCTCTGGCAGGATGTGCCGTCTATGCCTGCTGGGGATGGGGGACCTACAGCAGTGCACGCAGCGAGCAGGGGATTCCTCCTCCCTGAGTGTGGTGCCCACCAAGGTCTTGATCCCGATTCTCAGCTTGAGCTGGGTGCTCTCCCGGCTGCATGCTGGGCGCTGCTCACCCGGTGTGCGTGGCGCTGGTTGCTCTGCAGGCAGGCAGGAGGTGGCAGGGCTCGATGCTCGGCCATCAGAATCACAATGACCTCAGCTGCTGGAGCAGACACCACCAAGATAAACACTGTGGTGATAAGGAGGAATCGGCCAAACATGGATGTGAGCATGGAGGTGGCGAGTGGATGTGGAGATAAGCGCCAGGGCCTGGCAGGTGTGGATAAGGAGGTGTGAAGCTGCTGCCACCCATCACTGGCAGTAGGTGGCCCTGTCCCAGCACAGCTTCCTGCCCATGGGATGCCTTCCCCGGTGGGATTTGGATGTGAGCACTCCTAATAAAATCATGCTGGGTTTTCAGGACCCCAACAGGTTTTTTACTGTGTGTTTTTGTCCACAGGATGTTGCTGATCTCCCTGATCTGTCCTGCCAAGGCATGTAGGGGAAACGGGGTGCGTGGTATGGGGGGACTGTCCCTCTGCTGGGTGACCTGGTCCCTTTGGCCTCTGCTCAGCACCTGGGCAGCATGCTTGCTCCAGGCAGGTTCCTGAGCTCTGCCCATCCTCTGTGTCCCTCGGTGGCTTTCCTCCAAGCCATCTGATGCCTGTGGGTTGTGTTGGATAGGATTTTAGAGGTGCCTTCAATGTCGAAATGCTGGTGCAGCCAGGCAGAGCACTGCCGGGCCCAGACGTTGCCACTCCATGGCACAAACATAAATCTTCCAGCTGGCACGGGGACAAAAGCAATTCATCACCGTACGGCTGTCTCAGCTGCTGTGCCCCTAGAGCGGCCTCTCCAGCTGCTCCCTCACTGGAGCAGCCCCCCACCTGCTTTCCTCACCTCGGGGAGGCAGAGTCTTCCCCACTGCTGCCTCTCTCAGTCCTCATCCTTTCTCAGATCCCTAAAACATCCCCAGGAATGGTGCTGGTGCCCAGGGAAACAGGAGGGATGGCCAGCACTGTGAGGAGGAACTCCAGCTTTCCTTGGTGATACAGAACTGTGCACTGCTGCAGGCCATAACCATCGTACTCACAGGCCATAAATGCAGCTTAAAATTTGCTCAGCTGCTGAAAGCCCCCCCCTTTCCTGAGGAAATCAGAGCATCTCCACTGACAGATATCATCTAGTCCTATATCCCGTATTCATATTCCTAACAGGCATTGCCAGACCAATGCAGGGTGCAGCAGCAAGGAGAAAAGTCTGGGATGATTTTGGAGGCAAAGGTTAAGGTGGGATTTGGGAGGTAAAGGAAAGCACCTCTGTGAGCTGTGTGAGCGGTACAAGCACCCTGATGTGGTTCTGTCCCCACCATCCAACTCCCCATCTTCTTCTAGCTCATAAGTTGCATGCCGAGAACTGAAGGAGAAGGACTCAAGCTTTTCTTGATAGGAATTTTCAGCTGTCATTCTCTTGAGAGGCTTTATGAGCCCACAACAGTGCATGAGATATTCTTCTGGGTCTTCTCCTGGCCCTGACTAAAAAGAGCTTTTTCCAGTTTAACAGTGCTACATAGGGCAGGCAAACAGGCTACATCAGACTGATTTTGCACTTTGCTCTGTTCTGGGATCTCCTTCCTTGACTCTGATCTCCAGAGATCAAGGCAAATGGCCCCCAAAATGCATGGAGTAGGAATTCCCCAAAGCTGTTGCTTCTGACCTGCAGAGAGCACAAAGCTCCTTGAGCCCTTTTGCAGTGGGTCCAGCCTCCGGCAGGAGCTGGGATGTGGTGACAGCATCACAGAGGAAGGCGAGCTGCCCCACAGCCCCACAGAAATGCTGCCCCGTGTCCGGATGTGCCCTGCCTGGCTCCAGCTGCCAGCCTGAGCTCTCGCTCTGCCTTTGTCTGCACCACAAGCGGAGCCTCCTCCTGCAGCGGGGATTTACAGCCTGCACACAGCCACCTCTCAACCCTTCTTTGTGATGCTGAGCGGGCAGAAAACAGGCAGGCAGCACTGCCAGGCAGCTTGCCCAGTCCTCCTCTCGTCACCACTTGCACTCCCCTCCAAATTCACCTTCATTTTCTACCTCCTACCCCTTTTGGAGATGTGGGGCTTGGCTGGTGGCAAATCCACCTGTATGGGGGAATGGCCCCTGGTTTGTTCCTGTGCACCGTTCCCATCCTCCTGATGGCTGGTGAAAGCCCTTTTAAGAGATACGGGGGGATACCAAGGTGGTTCACAGGCCCTAGGCGATGTAAAGCCAGTGAGAGCACCTGTCTGGGGAAGGACTCAGCCCTGTGAGCGTGGCCATTGCAGCTGGATTAATCAAACCCACCATTAACACTTTCCTGGGGGGCACAGGTCCCCTGTCAGCCCCCAAGCACTGGCCTCCAAGCGGCACGTCACTTTGATTGACCTGCAGATGCTTGGCTCCTTAGTTTGCCCTGCCTCGGATCGATGAGTGCAGGCGGCTCCAATCAATTCCACTTTACTGCTTGCTATCGGGTTCAGATCTGCACTCTCCCAGCTGGTCCCAGCTTCCTTTGTTTGCTCAGGAGAGGAATTTTGGTAGCTCACCCCATTTGGAAGCTGCTGTGCCCTTGCAAGGCCAAGCCCCACAGATGCAGATGTTCCTCCCTGCCCTCCCCACTGGCCCTCAGGACCTGGTGCCGAAGGGGGTGAATTTGTGCTGTGACTTGGAGCCCTAAAAGCATCAGCCTGGCTGGGGATCCTGAAAGCGGGTAGCTGGATGAGGCCATGAGATCTGCATAATATTATATGGTTGTTGCCACCAAGCCGGCATCTGGCATGAGGTTTCCCTGCCACGAGCCTGGTTTTGCTGGGGAAATACCAAAGGCAGCTGCAGAGACGTCCTGTGGCTTGGCTTGCCATCCCCAGGAGCACCGGATGTGGCTGCAGCTCTCAGGGGCTTGAGCCCATGCACAGTCACTTTAAAGGAAAAAAAATAAAATAAAATAAAATTAAAAAAAAAATAAGCCCAAAGAGT